TAGGTTGATAGGGCCACGTAAGGTTTCAGGGGGGTGTATTCATGAGGAGTAATGTAGTGAAGAGGGTGGACAGGGCCTCCTTTGAATTTTAGGGGTCTGTATGTCTTAAGAATGCTATTGAATATTATTGTGTATTGGTTAGATGAGATCCTTCAATGGCCACAGAGGTCTGTATATATATGTATGTATTGGGGTGGATGGGGCATCCTTAGGGTCCCAGAGCTATGTATGCATATAGGGAATAGTGTATTGTGTCGACAATAGTGTAGTTAGTATATTAGGTGGATTGGGCCATCTTATGATTACGGGATTGGTAAAAAGGTTATAGAAAGTTGAGTTTAACCAAAATGTTACATATATCTCATTAAATGCCAAATAAAATTTAGCATGCCTTATTTAAAAGACACATCTTCCAAAATATAGCTACCGTGCAGTAAATTCTAAATGTTGAAACAGCATTAAGTGCAGGTAACATTCCCTTATCGTTATGCATACTGACTTTTGATATATACATGGTGTTCCTACTGTGCATGTTACAATAACTTCAATATTGGAGAAATTTTAGACGTCTAGTGGGTACAGTTACTATCTGCGGTAGGCTACAGACACGTTAGGCCTCAGGGGTGACTGTAATTGTCAGCCTCTGGCTCTGGTTACATGGGATTGTGTAGTTCTCAATATGAGGTTTCTATCAGCAGATCTAACACAAGATAATTCCTGATCAGATCAGGGCCCCAGGTAAAAAATCTCCCAGACAAATTCTATCTGTCAATGTGAAGTCAAATTTGTACTAGGTATTCTTGCTTAAAGCACTGTTAAAAATACATGTTACTGCCATAAAAAATCTGAGACTCCAAAAGTATATGCTCTGTTAACTTTGTTCACGTAAAGAATTTCACTTTGAGAAAGTTGTAAATCAGGATTGTTGCACTAACCTGACCATACATTCAGACTAGGAGGCGTTTTCGGGTAAAACTATAGGTGTGCAGTGAGCCGAGTCACTCTCTGATCTCAGATCTACCTTCTGGTCTGTCTACACTTGTCATTGTGATCTTACAATAACCACGAAACAAGTGTTACACATTACCCAGTATTATACATTACCCGGTATATGTCATATTAGAGTGCAGCGATACTTTTTATGACATGCATTAGTATAGGAATATACTTGACATATATTGTTCAATGATTGGAATTTTTAGTTTCCAAAATTGACAAAACCATTTGTCCATTATTGTGCTCATATCAATATATTTACCACTCTATTACACTGCCTCTATATACATGTAACCCTAGACTGTAAATGCCAGGGTCAACATGTGGATATCATCATTACTAAGAAATCATAATTGAGATGTTAGATATACCAGTAAATGTTTTGACTCTCCATGGACAATGCCTGTTCTCTATTCATTGAACAAGCATACACAACGCTTACACCAATTTGAACTAAATGAACTAAATCCTGAACTTAATTAGGCAGATTCCTATTTCTGTGATATAAAATGACTCCAAAAATAGTAAATGTAAGCATTTAGGCATTTACAGTAATATATATATGAATGACACAGCTCTTTGTTTGCCTGCAAAGCTGTGTCATTTATATGGACTGTAAATGCTTTACATGTATCAATACAGTTGAATGCAATTAACTAATCAAGGATTAAATCCCTTGCAATATTGTGCCAACCAACTTGGTGACACCTAATTATAATTATCTGGTGTGTATGAGATGTGGAATAGTCACAAATACCTCAGTAACATATTTGAGTGAGTGTATTTAACAAAACCTGCTAGTTAGTTGCCTTTTATAGGTGTGGTATATACATGTATCTATCTACCTGACACCAGGGTTATATGAGCAGACCGGTACCACAGTCCAGTGATTTAAATGAGAGTTGTCTATCTTGTTATGTCAGGCTATACGTTTTATGGCCAAAGCAATTAAGCAGGTCTATCAGTTATTGGGATGTTTCTATATAATGGAGTTGCTATTGATGGGTTTTTGACTTACATTACTGACCAGACTTTCTGTAATGAAAGTCCAGTAATTATATAAGTGTCTATAGATGTCACATGAAACTCTGTTCAGTTTCACAAAAAAAATCATAACTCATATTTTTACCTGAACTTCAGTGAAGATACAGACGAAGTCTATAAATATACAAATCTGACATTGTCTGGTGAATACACTTCTAAAATAAGTACATGTATTTGCTGTGTCTGTTACAAACGTTTCCAGTTATTACAACATGGTCTTGCAAATAAATTAACTGGACACCTGTATAACCCTCACTGTTCGGCAATAAAATCTAAAACATCAGTTGATTTCACTCTTGGTCACAAGCTGATCAAAGACTTCTATCCACAGTCCATTTGTAAAATAAACAAGATATTAATATTTGTCCATCATTTTGCCTTTTATGAGTCGCCTGCAGAGGGAAGGCGACATATATAGGGAACATTCCTTTGTCAGCTTAATTGGTGGCAATACCAGTGTTTAACTCCAATCACTGTTGAAGGACTGCGTTGATTTTCATAAAACTTTGTACACAAATTGTACCTGTAGTATATTAATTACCAGATCAAATTTGATGTTGAACCAGATTTGAAAACGAACATGGCTGTCACTGGAGGCATGCAACCAATCCATTTAACATTTGTACAGTATCAGAACTTTAAACATTTATTACTTTGTTAGGAATAAAGTTATGCATGCTTGGGAAGACATGCATTGTAATTAGAACAGTGAAAATTGAGCATTCTTATGGTAAATCAAGAATTATCTCCAGACAAATGATGATCAGAATGCGTAAAAACAAATTCAATTCAATTTTTCCTTGACCTTCATGAAAAATAAGATACAAAGATCTTTGTAAAGATAAAACTGATGAAAAGGGCTTGTAACTGAGATGTGACCTATGCTGTACCTAGTACTACATTAGGGTGTATGGAGTCACCTTGGATTGTCCTTGTCCTAGCCAGTCCCTCTACGTATAACGTTGTTGTCGGCCTGCAGTCAGATGACACCTCAGAAGTGTACCTAGAGCACACCTCAGACATTGTCAGGTAGGATATAGACGTCCAAGACCAGGATTTCTGTGGAAACGTTTCTTTGTAAATCAATATAACTGGGCTATAAGCTCCTTTCTGGTATCATCATTTGATTTGTTTCCTTCAGAAATTTCAGCTTACACTCTACGGAAGTATTAATCAGGACTTGTGCTGTAAAAGTATTGTGGTTTTGGAGCAAAGGTATTTGTAACCTCGAGTTTACAGTAAACTTCTTTGCCCATACTCGACAGAAATTCAGCTTACATTCAGCAGATGACATCACAGGTGAAAAGCATACAGAATATTGAATGTGTCACCAATACCCTGGGATATATAGAAGTCATTAATCCCAGTCTGGGAGTACAGGATATCACTGTGATTTTTGATACTCGAGGGAAATTCAGAGTAAGTCGTATATTTATATTGGGACATCATCGCTTTGATTTGGATTGGTAGCCTGGGAAATTCAGTGTAAACGCCTTTGAGGTAACAAACTGTGGTGGTAGAAGTTCTTTATAATGCTGGGCTATCATCGTTCTCTTGGATCATTACAACTTACATGCACAAGCTGTTAGCTATATAGCATTAGGCTGAAATTCAGGTACCCTGGGCAGACTAAGCTTAGGCCTAATCTGTAAACATCGCAGGTAAAATCATACAGAATATTGAATGTGTCACCAATACCTTGGGATACATATAACTCATTACATCTGAAAGTGTAGACTTGGACAGGGCATTCTCCAGTTGAAATCTATACCAGTAATGTGATTTGTGTGCTTTTGGTTTTCAATAGAAGAAATGTATTTCATCATAGAATCAAGTGAAGTTTTCAAATGCTAAGGTAATATAAAGATTAACTCATTTTATTTCAAAAGAACTCTTGTTATCATATTTCAATTTAACTTTACGTAGAAACCTGACTTTCGTATGGATACATGGATATAAGTTTATGATATATTTGCATTTGGTACAGGCACAACGTGCCGGATGAATTAATTAAGTTTAAAAATACCAGGTGAGAAAGTTAACATGTATATATGCAGGTGAAACTTTTCAGTTCACCGTTAAGTTTTGAAGGAACACGTGCAATGCTATGTAAGTACTACAAAGTTGACTTGCTATGTGTAATATACATGTACATGTATACCTTGAGAAGTAACATCTATGTACTAGTGTAACCATACAGGTAAACACGTCACAGCTATAGGTACCTGATCACCTTTACGATGGATCTGTTGTTTTTCCAATGAATCTGTTATATTGCTGAGAACGTTTGATCTAGGAAACCATTCAGCCGGAAATCTATCTCTGGGATAGGCACATGTTGTCCTTCGCGATTAATCAGGAGGAAAAGTGAATCCCCTCCGATAGGGTTCCGCCTGAACGCTATCAGCTCTAAACACTATCTGGGTTACAACAACAAAAAGGAAAGCTGTTAAGATTACTAAAAATTACCATATACATGTATTTACTGGTGTGGATGTCAAAGTTTTGTCAGAGAGATGGTGCTTTTATTATTGCGAATGCCTGCCCTGAAGGATTAATATCTGGAATATGTAGATATTTTCTACCTGGGGCGTGGTGTGTAATACCTTATCAACTTGTAGTCATAGTTTTGAAACACAAGCTGTTTAAACAAAAGCAAAATCAAAGATAACGATTTTGATGATTTTTTATCACCCATATGGGTGAGGTCATTTTGAAACTATCCAAAAGTATTTCAAATTTTAAGCACATAATTTTTTTTTCTAATTGTAAACAAGCTAACTATGCTTATAAAAGATTGATGAGAAAGTGTGCAGGTATATATCCATTCAGCCCTACTACAGGTCTAGGAGAGTATGTGTAGATGACCTGTCCATATTGTGTGAGATTGTGTAACCCATGATCACTGGCATGGCCTCTTGTCTATATGTGATATACATGATTAACCCTTCATTTTGCAGGACTCCCTCGGGGCTGGGAACAAGCAGTCACGCAGGAAGGAGCTATTTACTACATAGAGTAAGTATCTACCTATAGTAGATTACTGTAGCCTTGACGTACTCTGTGGACAGGATTTATCAGTAACAGTTTGTTGGATTTATATTTATATTGTGGATTTGTGAGAGGTATGTTTGTTTGCTTCATGAAGTATTTAAAAGAATTATTAACATGTATTAAAGTAGAGACAGGAATGACATATCCCTGCATTGACAGATTTGTATAAATACATCTAATAGGCCACCACATGTTGTCTAGTCAAGTCTCCTGTTCACTATATCGTTTTCCGAAGTCAACTCTGATGGTTTAAATTCCTTTTATTTGAGCAGCTATAATTTCATGACATTCAAACAGGGTGGACAGTATTTGTGTTTTTGTGCTCAAACAGCATGACCGGTGTTTTAACCATAGACAAAAGAAGTCATATCAGAAATATTTATAATATATTATCATGTTGTTTAAATGAAGCAATCATTGCATTGGTGGCATATTAGCAACAAATTAGTCGTCCTAGTTTCTAGTGTAGGGATACAGTTTGGGTCATTATTGATGGACGATGATATTAGTAAGGAACATTCTGTGTCGATCAAGTATTAATCATATAAAGAAAATGGTTATAATCACAACATAGCGCTTTAGAGTAATTTTACAAATTACATAGGGCGTTATATAAATGTTGTATATTATTATATTATTATTATACTCAAACCTCACCAATAAGGGGGTTTTAAAGTTTATTTGGCCTACACCTGACGTTGGCTCTATAATATATACTTTAATATTGATCATTACCCACTAATGACTTTACCACATTGAAGTCAGTCACTACATATGGTACTCGGCGTTGGTGACACATGCTTTATTGTCAGTGTGTGAAACATCGTAAACAAATAGAGTATGTATTTCTGTACCTCCCCTCCTCTGAAGATATGGTAACTCCTGTACCGTACACAGAAACATGTGTGTCCTTTACATGCTAGTCGTACACAGAAACATTTGTGTCCTTTACATGCTAGTCGTACACAGAAACCTGTGTGTCCTTTACATGCTAGTCGTACACATAAACATGTGTGTCCTTTACATGCTAGTCGTACATAGAAACATGTGTGTCCTTTACATGCTAGTCGTACCCAGAAACATGTGTGTCCTTTACATGCTAGACGTACACAGAAACATGTGTGTCCTTTACAAGCTAGTCGTACATAGAAACATGTGTGTCCTTTACATGCTAGTCCTACACAGAAACATGTGTGTCCTTTACATGATAGTCGTACACAGAAACATGTGTGTCCTTACATGCTAGTCCTACACAGAAACATGTGTGTCCTTTACATGCTGGTCGTACACAGAAACATGTGTGTCCTTTACCTGCTAGTCGTACACCGAAACATGTGTGTCCTTTCCATGCTAGTCGTACACAGAAACATGTGTGTTCTTTACATGCTAGTCGTACACAGAAACATCTGTGTCCTTTACATGCTAGTCGTACACAGTAACATGTTTGTCCTTTACAGGCTAGTCGTACACAGAAACATGTGTGTCCTTTCCATGCTAGTCGTACACAGAAACATGTGTGTCCTTACATGCTAGTCCTACACAGAAACATGTGTGTCCTTTACATGATAGTCGTACACAGAAACATGTGTGTCCTTACATGCTAGTCCTACACAGAAACATGTGTGTCCTTTACATGCCAGTCGTACACAGAAACATGTGTGTCCTTTACCTGCTAGTCGTACACCGAAACATGTGTGTCCTTTCCATGCTAGTCGTACACAGAAACATGTGTGTCCTTTCCATGCTAGTCGTACACAGAAACATGTGTGTCCTTACATGCTAGTCCTACACAGAAACATGTGTGTCCTTTACATGATAGTCGTACACAGAAACATGTGTGTCCTTACATGCTAGTCCTACACAGAAACATGTGTGTCCTTTACATGATAGTCGTACACAGAAACATGTGTGTCCTTACATGCTAGTCCTACACAGAAACATGTGTGTCCTTTACATGCTGGTCGTACACAGAAACATGTGTGTCCTTTACCTGCTAGTCGTACACCGAAACATGTGTGTCCTTTCCATGCTAGTCGTACACAGAAACATGTGTGTTCTTTACATGCTAGTCGTACACAGAAACATTTGTGTCCTTTACATGCTAGTCGTACACAGAAACATTTGTGTCCTTTACATGCTAGTCGTACACAGAAACATTTGTGTCCTTTACATGCTAGTCGTACACAGTAACATGTTTGTCCTTTACAGGCTAGTCGTACACAGAAACATGTGTGTCCTTTCCATGCTAGTCGTACACAGAAACATGTGTGGTCTTTACATGCTAGTCGTACACAGAATCATGTGTGTCCTTTACATGCTAGTCGTACACAGAAACATGTGTGTCCTTTACATGCTAGTCCTACACAGAAACATGTGTGTCCTTTACATGCTAGTCGTAGGACACTTCTAGTACTCGCCTCCCTGTCTCATTGATACAGTGTAAATGGAGTGCACAGGTTACAAAGTCTTGATATTTCCTGGCTATCAAGTTACCGGAACATTTTACAAAGCCACTGATGACACAGCCAATACAATCAGTCGGAAGAAATACATCCCCGTCTTTGACAACACTATGTCACCCACATCAGACTACTGTGATACAACTAAAAAGTTTGTTTTGTAAGTTAAGGATCAAAACATACTTATAAATATTATCAATGGTTGCAAATGTTTACAGTTGCCTGATGTCAATATCTAAAATCTGCCGCCTTAGACCTGATAATTTTGTATAAGAACAGCCAACTTTTAACCAATTTGTGTTCAACAGAAATACGTCAACAGAGAAAGGAATGAGAACAAAAATGTTCATGAAAGTTAATGTTTCTATCCTTGCTGGTTTATTACACAGACTAGAGAGTTTCTATGTAATCTCTCTGATGTCCTCAGGGGAGACAATCTGTTATAGATATAACAGACAACACAGTAATCTGTATAGGGATCAGTGTTATCTAATGAACTTCCCTGGGGTGTTTAACAGTACAGCCAGATACGACTTACAGTAGTTAGAGAGAACTTCCTTGTGATCAATAAGGATAAAGTTATATTGAAATAAAATTGGTTCAATAAATGAACTTACTATTTTTAGGTGTGCATGATCCCTTTTGCCCTCGAGGTACTTTGTAAACCTCGTTCTGCCATTATAAGCTGAAACATTCAACAACATGAATTAAACTCTTTGTTAATTTGGAGACTTACAATTATCATGCATGTTTTCATTAACATTCAACAATTGACTGCATGCCGTAGACTCAGACATCTAGATTAAACCTAAATTGAAGACATTTTACCTTTTGACGTCATGTAATAACCTATCTAAGTTGGCTGTTAATTAAAATACAGGTATGCATGCTAATTAAATGTACATAGCTTAAGACTTTTTGCATGTGCATATAGAAGTTATCAAGGTAAATGTGTTTGTACAAAAGGTACATTATTGTAGGTGTGTAATTATCTTGCCCGGAATAACAATTTGGGCTAGTTTGAAATAGGTGACCTTTAACCTCATATAATAAGCATAAGGACTTATTATCGAGGGCTTCGATCAAGGAATGCATGAGTAGTTAGCTATGGAATCTTGATATAATAGATTATCGGGTGTGTGTAATGTATTGGTATGGACAGACACAGAAGTACCGGTGCCACCTTACCTCTCCTACATAGTCTATGGAGTGTGTACTGTACATGTTTACCTGTGTGTACTGATGCCTGATTGGGCCAGTCACCGGCTGGTATTTCTGAAATAATGGATTAAAACAGGGATTTAAACATCATTATTTGACCTTCCTGGTAAGTTATAATTATTCTTTTTCGTATGCAAAACGTTGGTAAATTCAGTATTAGTAAGTTTTGTTTTAAGCCTGATCATGTCTCGATAACTTAAAATTGTACACACAAGCAGGTCACAGTTTTATTACAGCCTATATATCATGTACTAGATACATCTGTAACCTCACACCTGTCTTTTATATACTGATTGTTGACATTAATAGGAAACAGGTGATGGAAGTGACTCAGAATGAACTTTACAGAAATACTTCCTCTGGGGACATTTAAAAACCTGTTTAGGATTGCATGCTGTCTTAAAAGGTGTTTGTCTTTGGTTCATCTTCCTAAGACTGTTTCCTTTGAAGAGTACTGGACACTTTCAGTTATCTGTGATTTTGTATCGGTCATCATTAAAGGAAATGACAAATTCTAAATCAAATGGCACATTTTGTTCAGAATATTGTTTAGAAAAAATTCTGTAACCTGTGATTACTGTTCTAAAACTGATAAAGAGCATTTTATAAATTCTGAGTTCAGATCGGTCTTCACCATTTATATTTATTATATATCATAACAGAAGAATAAGAAAGAAGTCCTAACAGCGAGTCATGTTTAATTTAATACCTTGTCACAGTAGGTAAAGCTTGGATAATTAAGTTATAATACGTACATTCTGTCAAAATTGAAAACAGAAATTTATCAAAATTAAATATCTTAAAAAATCTAACTAATATTTATGTATTAACCTAATTGAAGTGTGTAGACAGACGGAGAAAAGAATATTGAGGAACAATTGTGAAAATATCCTATTTGTAGTTGTAAAGTGGTGTTTTGTGTGGAACAGGCATGTCAGCTCAAAATCTTGAGTTACCCTAAAGCCTGTCACCAGATAGGGATACCTGGTAATATAATTACCATTGGTGAACCTTACCCTGGAAAGGTCGTCGTGTCACAGTTTATTTCAATTAGTACAGAATTATATAGGTTTATCAGTATTCTGATCACCACAAAGTGGATACATTTCGTGTGTTTACTGATGTGTTTTTCAGATTCCATCACTACAGGTGTATGTTCTCATTATAGAATTACTGCAGGGTAAAAGGTTTTATAGAGAAGGCAAGTGTGTACGAATACTAATGGCTTTTATATCCCTCACCTGTAGCTGGAATTGTAGGTCAGTTTTGTTCAAGTCATGCGATGGAATAAAAACTTCAAATTTAACTGTAGAAATTCAAATGATTCATCAACTTTTTTTAGATTAAAAATAAATTGTAGCTAGTGTTAGAATAATAGATAATGCTGTGTTTTTCTGTGGGACTGACTGATCATTATCAGGATTTTTTAGTGTAAGTTTGGGAAGTGGCCCTTTTGTCTCATTTTGGAAAGAAAATTATCGATGGGGTACAAAATTTTCAGGAGTAATTTAACTGCCAATTTTGTGAATTAGGCTGTAGGCATAAATATGATACAGTTTAAATTGAGAAAAAGGTCCATTATTGGCCACATATACCTGTGGGTAGGCATGTAATGATATTTACCAAGTATTGTTGAGAAGAACATTATCCGAAGTAGGGTTGAACAGTACAGTTAGATACACATCATGATGCCTGAATTCTTATGATACAATACGTATACATACTCTGTCAACAAGAATCAGTCCATGCTTATTAATAAAGTGTTATCATCGCCCAGAGTAAAACTTCCTTCTCTACATCCTATCTATTTACAGTAAGTAGATATTTGAATGTAAGATGTAGGTCTTACCAGAGTATTTCATATGTCCAGCATCAAATTACTATAAAATTCAATTTTAGTATGTTTCCTCTTGGTAACCTTGCTAAGACCTACACAAGGTCACAGTAAGGATTCTTGTGACCTTACTATCTAAAACAAGAGGTCACAGTAAGGACCCTGGTGACCTTACTATCTAAAACAAAAGGTCACAGTAAGGGTCCTGTTGACCTTGCTATCTAAAACAAAAGGTCACAGTAATGACCCTGGTGACCTTGCTAACACCTAGGCTACACAAGATCACAGTAATTAGGGTCCTGGTGACCTTGTTAACACCAAGGCTACACAAGGTCACAGTAATTAGGGTCCTGTGACCTTGTTAACACCAAGGCTACACAAGGTCACAGTAAGGGTACTGGTGACCTTGCTAACACCTAGGCTACACAAGGTCACAGTAATTAGGGTCCTGTGACCTTGTTAACACCAAGGCTACACAGGGTCACAGTAATTAGGGTCCTGGTGACCTTGTTAACACCAAGACTACACAAGGTCACAGTAAGGGGCCTGGTGACCTTGCTAACACCAAGGCTACCCAAGGTCACAGTAAGGGTCCTTTGACCTTGCTAACCCCTAGGCTACACAAGGTCACAGTAAGGGCCCTGTGACCTTGCTAACACCTAGGATACACATGGACACGGTAAGGGTCCTGATGACCTTGTCAACACCTAGGCTACACAAGGTTACAGTAAGGGTCATGGTGACCTTAGCTTGCTAACACCTAGGCTACACCAGGTCACAGTAAGGGTCCTGATGACCTTGTTAACACCAAGGCTACACCAGGTCACAGTAAGGGTCCTGATGACCTTGTCAACACCTAGGCTACACAAGGTCCCAGTAAGGGTCCTGTGACCTTGCTAACACCTAGGCTCCACAAGGTCACAGTAAGGGTCCTGATGACCTTGCTAACACCAAGGCTACACAAGGTCACAGTAAGGGTCCTGGTGACTTTGCTAACACCTAGGCTACACAAGGTCACAGTAAGGGTCATGGTGACCTTAGCTTGCTAACACCTAGGCTACACCGGGTCACAGTAAGGGTCCTGATGACCTTGTTAACACCAAGGCTACACAAGGTCACAGTAAGGGACCTGGTGACCTTGCTAACACCTAGGCTACACAAGGTCACAGTTAGGGTCCTCTTGACCTTGGCATTACCTACACAAGCTCACTGTTAGAGTCCTGATGACCTAATTGTCACCATCAAAAGGTCATTGCTAGGGTCATTGTGACCTTGGCATCATCTACACATGGGCACAGCTAGTTTCCTGGTTATCTATCTGCACAAGGTGACAGTTTGGGTACTAGTGACCATATATACCTGGCCATTGTAGGCCGCTTCGGGTCTGAGTTCCTTATACATAACTACACAGTGGGCCTATAGAAACTCCAAGTGTCATTTGTCTACAGCTTATCAAAGTTGATATCATAATCTGGTAGTAATTGGATTAGCTTCTACAAGCACTGTTTCTCTACCTATTACTTCTCTTACTTCACACACCTACTTAACTGTATAAGTGTGTGAATACAGCTTAACATTACGACAATATTCTGATCAAGAATTGTTAAAACTCTTTCTACAACTAATCCATTGTGCCATATTATAGCTGGCCTACTAGTGAGTATGGTAGTGCTCCTGGGGTTACAGTGTTACTTGGCGAAGGCAAGTATGTCACTATTACGGAGTTTGTGTTAGGGGCAGATTATCTACCTACAAAACAAAGATATATTGTATCAATATTGACTTTCTCAGCTCAATATGTACACTAGACAAATATATAGGTTAATTGATTAGCCACAAGTTGCTGGACCGAGGATATATAAGCTATATATTAAGTATTTTGTTGGACCTAATACATACACATACTACAATGGGTTGGAGATGTCGGACATTTACTTGGGTAAGTTTTGGCATTTGCAATTTTGTTAACAGCTTTAATTTTATAAGATCTTAATTTCATGTTCTCAAAGTTTAAAATTTGCCATTATAAAATTGTTGTAGGACTGGTTCCAGCTTTGTAGACATTTCTCAACTTCTGTTAAGTTTTAACTTGTAAACTCTTTTTTCCCTATGGAAAAATGAAAGTTTTTAAATAATCTTGGTAAGATTTTTACTTAAAGTAGAGCCTGCTTTGGCTTTGACCGAAGTCAGTAAGAAATTAGAGCAGATAGTGTTAGTTGGACTGAAACCTGGGTCATTATTGTTACTTTGACTGAGAACCAGAGTAAGTAGTGTTAGTGTATTGGTGTCTTTTAGAAAGGATGCTTAGAGCTTCTGATTTTAAAGTCCTTTTTTCTGTTAAGCAATTTTATCACATAATCGGCCTGTTATCCAGTGAATTCACCCGTGTAATAATTTTACATATGTCACTAGTGTAATATACCCTGGAGCGTTTTTCATTGGCTGTGCCAGTCAGAATTCGATTGTGATGTCATAATATGGACAATGATGTGACGTCATAAATTGTGAATGGCGCAACAAAATGGCTGTCTCCGTTTGATTAAGCCCTCTACATTTTGGCTTTAAAACCTGTCAAAATGTAAGTTTTCTGAATTATGTGATAAAAAGTATCTTAAAGTTGTTTCATTTCATATGAGCTTTTATGAAACTCATCTCAAAGGTTTTAATTTTTGCTCGCCTTATAAGATCCTATATACATTACAAATGAATTATAATCATCTACCTAACAACTGTGGGGTTATAGAGCATGTATAATGCCAAGAAATCTGAATAATTGTATGCAAAAATGGAACGCTTATGTTTGACGATAAGCACATTATGTATCGTTCTGTTTAAGAATAAAAACATATACAACAATATACCCATAGAAAACTTCAGAGAACATGCTACATACTGCTTTTGTAGAATGTGTAAAAGGATGTCATTGTAAAGCTATGTATGTAGGCAACCATTAGCTGTTATTGTTAGACTGAAAAAGGATTCTATTGATGACAGAACAGCTGGAATAATGGAGGTTGTTTGTGTCGCATGAATAGCTACTAGGTACTTCAGGGGAAAGACTGCTTATTTTTAATGCATTTTAAATTGCATAAGGTTTTAAATTTTAGCGATTTAAATTTTTAATCATTGCTTCAAGACATATTTATAAATTTCAAGGTTGAAAACTCACCTGCATGTATTGTTTCCTAAGTGTTTGTTTCAAGTTTTACCTGTAGGGATACATTGTTATGTATTCCAAACACGTATGTCATGTCATGCTTAGGACCTGAACTATCAGTTTTTGATAAAACGTTCACTATATGTACATACATTGTTAAAACATTTTGTTAACTTTACATTGTGCAGGTGGGTGGCACAAATACGATGATAACAGGTATCTGTAAACAGTCGTGGACTAGCGTTTCTCTTCTGGTTGAGCTTTGATTCATGTTTTAATGTTATATTAGAGTGATCATATTATACAGCTGATACTAAACTGGCTTAGAGGTGAATTGGAGCTGCACTAGCTATAGGATACCACCATCTCAAAAGGATCAAAAGCCAACGATGCTGTGACGGATACCTGTTTGTAACCTAATGTGGTAGTCCTATGGTAAAACCATTGCTAAAGGGTTATAATTGTGAGATTGCTTATTTGTAGAATCAAATTTTTCTTTGTTGGTCTCTTACTTCAGTTTAAAAGCAAAATATGAAATAACCAATTTTATGAATAAGAAAAGTTCATTTCTTACATATACTTTAAGCATCTTATGAGTGTTATGAGTCCAGCTAACCAAGATATATATCCCAGTATAAATAGGAGTGGACTGTCGACACACAGTTGTTAAATATCTTAAATATTATACGGGAATATTTCTGGGTGAATTGGATCAACATTCCTGTAAGGATTAGGTATGTGTGTAACCCTGTATTGTGTTGGACTAAGTAGTACTTCAATTGTTCCTGTTTTTATCAATGAAGTTCGATCAGGATCAAAAACCGAAGGGCCATACAGACCAATTCCTATGCCACACCAGCTGGACTGATATTAAAGAAGACTTTATCAGTGATATAACTATGCTGCAGTGACTTACTCTTTTTATGCAGATGTTTGGCTGTCATTAACAAGTTCATTTGTTTCTTTCAGTCATAATAAAGGGACCACAACATTTGATCACCCGTGGGAGAAACCGAAACATCATGCCCCTTCTTCTCCCAGGTAAGTTGATATCTGTGCTATAACTTTCTTTCAGTACATAGAAACATATGGCTATTTATACATAACTTCACACAATGAAAGAGTTAACCTGTTTATTACTTGAGTTAAGACACAGATATGAATGTGCAAGCAAAGAACAAGTACTAAAACCTACTGTAAACATTTGGCGTATCAGGGGCTACTCACTCTATAACCTACTAATAGTAACAAATTATTCTCAAAATATTTTAACGAAAGCTAGACTCTACGAAGTCACAGAGAAGCTTGATAAAGATTTAACGGAAGCTAGACTCTGCGAAGTCACAGAGAAGCTTGATAAAGAGCGCGAGCTAGACTCCAAAGAAAACAAGAGAAGCAGCTAGACTCTGAAAGTACCAGAGAAGCGACTAGACTCCTAATATCCATGGAGAAGCTATAAAAGACTATGAATTGGAAACGCTAGACTCCGAAGAAGGCAAGAGAAGTCACTAGACTCTGGAGGCATCCAGAGAAGCGACTAGACTCATAGCCACCCCAGAGAATATATCTGTTAAATTTACCACGAGAAAACTGGCTACAGATAAAGTGAAGTAATAATCTATTTAAGAGATTGGGGGTAAAATTCCCCAAGAATTTAAAGCCAAAATGGAACGATTATGTTAGTGCGACATAAGAGTGAGAGCCCCCAATAATGTTGTTTCTTACCTTGAAGTTATGCAGTGGATATTGTGTTTCTTTTGTCTAGTTAAAGTTTTTGTGTCATTTACAGACAAAGAACACAAACTAATGCAATTTATGAGATGAACAAGTTGTATGACATTTTTTGACCTTGACCTTTGAATTTGTACTCTGTGACCTTGGTAATATTTTTGCATATAGGTCAGTTATTGAAAAAGCACTGCAAGCTAGGGTCATGCAACCTCATATGCTTACCTGTCTTATGTTATTATGAGTAGAACATGTTTCACAACATTTTTGTGACCTTGACCTTTGACCTTGGCAGGTGTCACCTTTTAAACAGACACATTTTTGGTTAATAATGAAATCTTAAAATGTTTATTAAAAAGGTTAACTTTGTTTAGCTTAGTTTAAAGTTTGAACTTGATCAAACATAGCTGAAAATATTAGGTGGCAACTGATTTTCTTTGTATAGTAAGTTACCTTGACTTTGACCTTTTGACCTGAAAAGTAATACCAACCCAAGAAAGCAGTTTACTTTTCATGTACATATGGTAAAAAAACCCTCTCAAGTGGCATACAGTAGATTTCTTTCTCTATAGTGACAGTACAGAAGGTTATCCCTCCTCAATATAAAACACTGAACTGTTCATTTCCAACACTGTTTGTATTAAAGTATGTGTTTATGTAGCTTTTGAGCTTCCTTTTGCACTGGCATTTCCAGGGCCTGAAAATATACACAGGAAAATAACATGAGATTGATCAGATCATGCAAACACATTGTCTATTTTCTATGGGAGATGTACTAGAGCACTTCAGTCATTGTGATCGAAATGTGTATCCAAATATTTGTGTGTCATCTGTCCAAACGGTGAAGGGTACACCGCTTCAACACAGGTAAATACACCAAGTGATCGAAGTGGCCTAAATCTGTTGTCCCCACCCACCTCTACCTCCCCGCATTGTGTCTGAAGTCTACCTGTAAATGACTCCCATTACATTTACAAAAGGCTTTATTTGAACAGCGAGAACCTGAACACATCATAAATCTTTCAATCACCGGTCAACTCCGCTGGCCATCACACATTGATTTGACCCATACAAACGACCCTTCCCTCTCAATCACCTCGACTCATCACACACATTCCTACCTGTCACTTACTAAAAGTATCCTATATGGAGTTACACGGATTTGTGTTACATCTAGGACGGTTCACTGCAGGTGAGGTTAGATTTACCGAGATAACATAACCTAATTAGTGTTTGGTAAACACCTGTGTTTTGTTGATGTTCCATCCTAATTATTGTTTTGTATACACCTGTGTATTGTTGTTTTTGTGGGAGTGGCATCACATTCTATCTTATACTGTCAAAGGGATTCTAGCTTAAGCGGGAAGACCAGAGCACCATTGATTTAGTGTGGATGTTGAAGGTTTTCTAAGGGGAAGGGGGGGGGGGGGTTATACGCCTTATTTCTGTTTTCCTTTATGTTGTTTACAAATATACAATCTCAGTCAATGAGGCTAAAGTCAGAAATTGTTTTAAACATCTTGATCATCAGACTGTATATACCCAGACAACTTTCGCTGCAGTTTAATTTTTCGCCTTTTTTTGCCCACTGTAAGGAAGAGAAATTTGTTATTACAGCAAACATTAATAAACATTATACTATGCATTGTGATTAAAAAGATGAAGGCGAAATTGATACTGGGCCAATATGGATTATTCTAGCAAAGGGTGAAAGTTTTATTCAGCTAAAATTTCCGAGTATACAGTATATCTATATAAGCTGTGTATACAGGACAGATGACTGAGTTGATTTATGTTTAGAGAGGTGTCCTGTGATCATATCCATTAGCACTACCTGTACATTCTGTAATATAATAAAGGTGAGGCCTTTAGCCTTTTGGAGGAGGTCTATGTCCCAGGTACACAGGTGATGGATAATTAATGCTGTGTGCCAGCCAGACTATCCAGAACCATTCCTTCTACCATAAAATCTATTTTTGTCTGATGCCTATTTTAGATAGGATTTGTGTATTACCATTAATGCTATTAGAATCATCATATACAATCCATCGTCGAATGTATACAATCATATGTAGTCTTGGTTGATGAAATTCTTTAGGTATGAAATGAAAAACTTGAAGGTGAATAATAGATTTTTGATAGGTGACACATATAATTAGTAGTACTAAAAACATAAAGTGGATGTGTTTGTACCTATACAAACAGGTACATATATAACAGGTAAAAAAATATACCTGCATGTACCGGTGAAAGGGGCATTATACTGAACACGATCAATTTGATTGGTGGCCACCTCAGCTAATGTAGATAGGCCCTATTTGATGCAAACAATGGGATGTAATGTAAAAGTCTGATACATATTGTAAATATCATAGATAGTGAGTATCCTAGTTGGTACGTCTCACAAGGTCACTCAGCAAGGTCACAGTTCTAGTCAGCTGTGTGACTAAATTCTCTTGGTATATTAATATTGTCATCATGGATGGGTGTGGATGTTGCATATCCGCTGGGTTGGAAGAGGACTGGTTAGTATTTGTCAATTTTTGTTAACTTTCAAATGTCTGTTTAATGTAGAAATGAAAGGTTTTTCTCTACTTCTAGTCCGACTGCAGCCTTGTGTAGGATAGGATATTTGATGGAGGATTGTATCATCAGAAACATCTATAGTGCTGTGATTTAGCCATCAATATTTTTGTCCACAGTGATAATTGTCTCATCAATATTATAGGTATACGTAGCTGTGATTTTGTCTTCAATTTTTTATCTTACTATATATATATATAGCAGGGATATATGGTCCCCAATATTGTATCTGCAGCAAAGTTTGTAAAGTGCTACATAACGCTGATCAGTGTATTCTCGAACATCAAGTAAAGATACGAAACCAATATATGATCCTGAATTAATTGCAATATACCAATATTGGTTAATATACATGTAGTACTCAGTGTATCATTATAAAACAGCCAGGTAAATTATGATAGATACCTTCAACAGATGTAGCTTTATCAGAATAGATGACCACCTTCATCTACATGTTGATCACTACCCTACATGTAGCCTACTGATCATGAGTGACCCTAATGACATGGGTAGCAACTGTCAAGGATGATGTATAGAAGTGTCTTGAGTCGAGACTGGATGATTCTTGAATCTCTGTGTTAATTAACTTAGTTGATGTGGTACATGTATACCTCATTCCTACCATTATTTACACTTACCTATCGACCACAATAATATACTGACATCAGGAAACATACGTATTTCTCTTAATGGAAATATCTTCACTTGTCATTGGCTAAGGCAACATACGTGTAGTAGTATTAGAGTGCATTATCTATGATTGATATTAGTGTTTTCAGGGTTGTGGTGTATTAGAAGTACCTGTTTGACAGAGTCATAAACACAGGTTACCAGTATGTAGAAATAATTGATAGTCTAGAATTGATATTGAGTGTTATATTAGAAATACATGTACTGGTCATTCTGTATTAAACTGTCTGTGATGTCTGTCTGTGATGTACACAGGTATTTGATTAATACCAGCCACACACCTGTTACCTGTGACGGTATCACCTGCGTTACAGGTATATATCAAACAGAATCACAGAAGTGGTTTCCATAGATGTCCCAGGTATATGTGGGGATGCTGTCCTAACAAGGTCTGAGGTTTACATACACATGTATATTATTATTTCATCATCAGTGAATTCAGGAAAAATGACTGATCATTTTGACAGATGGACATTAAGGTAACCTTAGCTCACACATTATAACTAGCATTTGTCCTACAGTTACCTTGAGAAACTTTAAATCTGTTATTTGCCTTAGAATTACCTCCCTTTATAAACATTTACATATGTAGCTTTACCTCAGGATTGTTAATTGCCAGAGCATTGTCATTGCTTGTATTCTCATGTAAATTTCAAATGTTCATCAAATAAGTTTAACTGTCATAAAAAGTATTTTTCTTGTTTGTTATCAGTACAGACCTATCTTGGTAAGGAGTATGAATGTCACAGTGACATAGCCTCTGATGCTGTGATATTTTCTGATTCTTATAAATTTCCACTTTTGAGTTGTTTTGACAACATCTTTCAAATTATCCTGTCATGGCCCTGCCCAAGTGTTGTTGTTGTTGTTTACAAATTTCATGGTGATTTAGGATCCATCATGGCCACCATGTAATCTGATTGGCTGTGATATTTACCATGTAATCTGATTGGCTGAGATATTTGAGACATTTTCATAAAATTCTGTTATTTTACCAGGTCTTTGTCAACCAAAAGTGGTATTGATGTTCTCATATTGCCCTGACTGAATGATGATATATTATACATTTATGGACTTCAGGTGAGGTCTATCCCTGATTTACAAACTTGGTCTAAATCGATCTGTTTCCTATTTATATACGGTAGGTCAAGGTCTGTAACAGATTTACAGACTCGTCACATGACGTCGCTCCTCCAATCAGGTCTGGGATTAACACCAATCATATAATAATGTATTTCTTGGCATCAATGAGAAACCAAGATGATTACCATGTAAACTCAAGTATTGTACACAACATGTAGCTAATGCATCGATCGGTACACCTGAAATATTATATATGCTGCAGTGTTCCTTTGACAAAGTTGTTTTTGTGTCGATACTTATAAAAATTACATTTGTTCTATTACAGTTCCCCACCAGCCTACCCACCATCTCCGGGGAGTCCATCAGACAAGCAGGTACGTTATCCTGTGACATAATTACGTTCTGTGATTGATGACCATGTATGGCACACCTGATGACCTTGACTCATTTCGTCCTGGGCGATGTTAGCTCACTTTTTACATGTATTTGATCAAACTTACTAATATTGACATCCTTTGGCCCTTTAAGACCACCAGTCATCTGAAATAGTGTCATCACTTAAAGTGAACTTAAAAATGATAGGAACTGCTTTATGATATATGTGTGCTTTAATTAACTCAAAGTACATATCAAGAAATTACAATGTAGGATGATATCGAAATTATTTGTGAAATTCATAATGCTTGAGGTACCTACAGAAAAATTCTCTCCTTCATCTTGAACATTTGACATTATTTCCATTTAACTTTTGAACAGAATAAGGTCAGATTGACAATAATGTTTTTAACAAACCTAACTTGTTATTGTGTTACACAATGACAGACGGCAGTAGGATGTTGGCCCTGGGTAAAACACTCACCAAGTAGACATGATACTGTATTAGAGATTGTTATACATAGCCTGGTTGTTGTCAGATTACACATGTGTAGTAGAACCTTTCCAGTAGAAATTAGGATAGTGTACATGTACTGTAAATACATGTAAATAATGGAATATTGTACAAGTACATAATGGAACAATAAGTTCATACAGTGGAACATTGTACAAGTAAGTTCCAAATTGAACATTGTACCAATAATGGAACATTGTACCAATAAGAACATAATGGGACATATTGTAAACTTCAGTACATAATGCAACATTGTACAAGTAAGGACATAATGGAACATTGTACAAGTAAGTACATAAGGAGAATAGGTACAGAAAGGAAAATTGTATGATAAATGATGCACCAATAATTCTAGAAAAAAGACTTTTCATATTTTTACAGTGGAATTTCTGCCACCATCTATTTCAGAAATCAAATCCTAAAATCAATTATCATTCACTGATTACTGATTACTTTTACATTTGTAAGAATATTATATATGTGCCACTATATTATTCATTGGTGATTAGGAGTGTTATAAAGTCATTTCCTGTGTAAATGTATTAGAATAGAGCCTAGAGGTTGGATGTCAGTAGATGCCATAATGTAGCACCGTGTAAGATCCAGGTATATGTAGCGGTTCATTGAGTCACACAGCACAACACATAATATCCTTTTATAGGTATACGTCCGTTAAATACAAAGACTGATTTACAACTCATCAGTGTATAAATAAACCTTTGATATCCGATGTGGTATACATCATCAATGTGTATTAAATCAATATTATCTGTGGTTGGATATATATGTGTGATCCAGCTATAGTGTTTACTTTTATCACGACTGTGCACAAACAACAAATTCCCACGCCTAGTCATGTGTAACTATATAGCTAGCGTCTATGCTGTGTACTCCAAGGCCTCCATCGAGGACAGATCATTTCACAGATGAATACATTTTAATTCTGATTTACGTAAATATTGTAGATGCTATCTAAATCTGATCATTGTCACTATGAATTGTTCAGTAGATATAATAACAAATCTGTCCTGGTTTTATTATATGAGATTTTAAAATGACATAAAGGGCTTTACCTTTAATAGTGTAGGGACTTATAGTAAGCTCCCTCCCGAGGAGGCACGCTATTGATTAGAGTAACGCAATATCTTGTCTTAAGTATGATAGTTTATTGATCAGGGCGTAAAACCTGGCCACTCCGATACAACAACTAGAAACCTACCATGTTAATATCTTTATTATATCAGTACTGTATTATTTCAAAACCTGCATATGTTTCTTATTTAATTATTATCTAAATTTCTAACATGCATATATTCCTGCGATTTGTGAATACAGATTGTTTAATCTGAGTTAAACAGTTAGTTCAAGTTCAGGTTGACTGCATGAGATAATAACACTTAAACTATTAAGCCGAAAGGGATTCCTTGCGAATATCACATACCTTTGTGAGGTAACCTGGGGGGGATTCCTTGCATTGTGAATTCAGGTAGTCAATTTATTAAAAGCTGTAAGTAGTAAATTAACTTCAAAGTCCCAAGTGATTAAATATATATTTACTCAAATCCCTGTAAATCCTTTTGTATTCTACCTGTGGGTTCTTTGATATGATTTCACGCTGGTTTTATAAAAACAACTATCATAACTTTTACAGGTAAGGAAAATCTTTGCATTTAATTATAAAATGAATATAAAAGTATAATTTGATAGCAGAGCATTATGCGACACAATATAATCTATAAAGGTACTGTTGGTGAATTACTTATTTAAGAAAAGTAAATATTAGAACAAGGACTAACTTTGAAGAGATATGATTTATATTAAACTTCAGTATCCGTTGCGGAGGATCTGGAAGTCAAATGAGCTGAATCTAGACAAGGTATCGCCCTGGCTGAGGATTTTATCTAACACAATCTGAGAGGCTTACATTTACAGAACAGTAGTCTTAGAATGGTTCACAATACTGTCAAGGGGAATAACTGGTATCTTTCTCAATCATTTTGGGAGCTGGGAATTAATTATTTGTAAAATGGTAAAATGTATGATGTTTTTCTTTAGACTGACTAGCACCTGAGATCTATTCCTTAATTATTTTTTTACTTTGTTTATCAAGATCAATTGTACACTGCTATTATATGTATTATCAGAAGGCAGTGTGCGTGGTGTAGATGTTTTATTATTAGAATTCCAGTACTTAGTCAAAAATATTCATGTTTTACAAATTAAGATTAAATCTTTCTTCTGTTGTAATGTGAACCATATTTGTAATATTGGTGTATACATGATTGTGTTTAATGATCTAATTTTAGAATATTTGTATAATAATAATTTGTTTGGTTATCTTTGTTTTCTGGAATCTAATAGATTGTTGTGGACTAAATGTGTAGGTGGATGGTACATGGTGTTTCTAAATAACTGGGTTTTAGATACCAGTACATTTTAATAAATCTGATTTTGCTTCATCATAAAATAAAATAAAACCACAGTTGTTGAGAATGATGTAACTGATGTTTTGGTGGGGGTTTTTTTTGTTGTTTTTTTGTATTTTATTTGTATAAAAAATGGTTTATTTGACATTCAATATCCTTTACGGGTGGACAAAGTGTCCAGCTGAATCTAGACACCAGCTGGTTCCTTGTTTGGTATGTACGTCGTGGATCTGGATAGTGATAAGATGGGGATTGAGGGCTGGACATAACTACAAATGTACATGTATGTGAGCCCCCAGCTTGCTTTGGTTTTATTACGATACTAACACGCTGTGTTTTGCATGAATAAATTGAATCTTATTATTTTTAATCTGGACATGTTAGTCTTGGTTACAGTTGGTGTATTTTTGGAGTTTCTTTCTCCTGAAGTTGCTACCGATTTTCTCCAAAAAAAATATTATTTTTTTTACCAACAGTCAACATTACTTTGTTCAAATCAAGTTAATTAAGTAGATATCAACAGTCCTGTAAGTATGCTAGCTCAGATGTTTGTGTTTAATTTGTGTTAAGGTTTCATTGTTATCATTTACCACTCTCTTAAGTTGTCACTAGTTGTTCACCAGTACCAATGACTGTCACATCTTTTACTGGTCTCATTATATTTCTATGATGTAATTCAAAAAAATAATGTCTGTATTTATGTCGGCAGCATTTGACTAGGAATACCTTTGATTGTCTACATTTCAGATATATATAATGTCATTGTGCACTTATAACTTCATGATTGCTTTTCTTTTCTTTTTGCAGATAAAGATAAATTCGCCAAATAAATTAAGGTATGTTTCTTAGTTTTGGATCAATACCATATTCCTTTATAAATGGGACAGTAGGTCAAAGTAATTTGTCACTGTGTTGATCTTAATCAAGTTCTTTGTGACCTTGAGCGGTAAGTATTGTCCTGAACTTTTGCACTCGTGCTGGAAGTAAAGATTTTTCACTATACCTTGAATTCTAAACTGTGGTACATGAAGGTTAGTATTACCCCCGGGTAAGTTGTTTTAACTGTCCTTGAACTCTGAACAGTAGTAATTTAAGCTGGTAATTATATAAGGCTTTCATATGACCTTGAACTTTGAACTGAGTACAGAAAGCTTATTATTAATAAAACCTATGCATGACCTTGAACTCTGGACAGTAATACTCTAACCTTATAGGATTTAACCTGACTTTCAACTCTGAACAATGAAGATTTTTGTCTGACCTTCAACTCTGAACTACGTTGAACGATGGTGTTCTGACAGGACTTACTGAACTGCCTTCTGGCAGAAATATGTTAAGGGTTTTTTAAAGGCGTAAAGAAAATAAAAGTTGGCTTGTAGAATTACACCTGCTATCCAAATCATCTCTCGCTGAGCAGAGATAGCAGCCGACACAGACCTCCCTCATCATTATCTACGAGTTACACCCAGTGGCTGGTGCAGACCCAGCACTACACAGACACCTACAAGTCCAGAACATGTACACCGAAACACTCTACAACATCGTTTGTTAATTGGTTTTAAAAGTGCAATTAATGAGATAGTGGAATGAGTTTGTGGGGTGATGCTGTGGTTGTGATGCTGTGGTACTGACACAGATTACACGGTTATCAGACTGTGGGGTATAAGGCCTGTATGATGTGAGGAAATACAACAGGTCATGTTCACTTTATAGAAGAAAAAGTCCAGTATATCTGAGGAATTACAACAAGGCCTTGTACACTTTATAAAAGTCCTGTTTATTTGGGAAGTTACAACAGGGTTCAGTAAAAGTTCTGGTGAAACACACAGTATTAAGGGCACAATGAGGTAAGTCTATAGCAATATATATATATGGTGTATAATTACAGTACATGGTGTACCTGTACTTGTAGAAAAAAAATTCAGTCATTGGTACAAATGATTGCACTGAAACTGTTTGATATCTCGGTGCTATATATATATGTTGTGTAAAAGGTACCCAACATCCATGAAAGTGTTGGCAAAGAGTTACTCTCTTCATAAAGTGTTGGCAAAGAGTTACTCTCTTTATAAACTGTTGGCAAAGAGTTACTCTCTTCATAAACTGTTGGCAAAGAGTTACTCTCTTCATAAAGTGTTGGCAAAGAGTTACTCTCTTCATAAAGTGTTGGCAAAGAATTACTCTCTACATAAAGTGTTGGCAAAGAGTTACTCTCTTCATAAAGTGTTGGCAAAGAGTTTCTCTCTTCATAAACTGTTGGCAAAGAGTTTCTCTCTTCATAAAGTGTTGGCAAAGAGTTTCTCTCTTCATAAAGTGTGGGCAAAGAGTTACTCTCTCCATAAAGTAGTGCTCGTTTGTCATACTGTGTCTAGTTAGAACTTTTCTGAAGCTTTCAAGCTGAACACATTTACAACATGATTGATTATATATTTCAAACTTGAAACTTATGTTCAAACTACATGTATCTAAGATGACATTTGTTGCCCTTGGACTAATACATTAATTCTCCAAACAATTCCTGTGTCACAATCATTGTATTTGAGACCGATTAAGATTTTTAATTACTTCACCTCTGGTACTTTTAATACCGACAGAAAACTTTCTTAAACAGCCACAGCTTAGTTTTAATGACCAGGTGAAACAGTAAGTCTACATGTATAGATCATCTGTGTGGCTCTTCGTGTGGGTAACCTTGAGATAGAATTCTAATGTATTTTTAATCGACACTGGTACAGAACTAAATATGGGTAAAAAGGTTAGAAATGTTTTACTGGTCCCAGGGTTGATAAGTCTTATTATTGCTCAAAATCAAACACTTTCAAACTATTAAATATATAGGTTATACATATCGTGCATTTATTCAAAATGTTCAGATTCAGAATTAAATAAAAAGTTCAAAACCATTTCAGGATTTGGTGTAGAGTTCCACTAGCTGCACATTCAACATTAACAGAATGTATGTCGGACCGAGTGAAATATCAATATTCACTACAAAAAATATAGGTTGGTCTAGTGGAATTTTTAAAAAAAATTGCCTTTGAGCAGAGACGTATATACTACTGGCTTTATATGTCTCTGCTTTGAGCTATTACTCCTAATATGAAACTGTACACCCCTCATTTCACAAATTACAACTGTTCAGTGTAAGATCAATTTAGCTACACTTTATACAGGATTAAATAACTCAATCTTTTCAGAAACATTAACAAAGAAATACCACTGGTACATGAATTATGTAATATCCTGGTGGTCAGGTATTGAAATAACTCTTATCAGTGTTAGAAATAGAGTTACTTTTAGCTTCTTATACTTCCTATTTTCTGTTATTGTAGGCCGCTAAAAGCACCACCAGCCAAACGAGACGACAACGCCATGGTAACCTTGAAGGGCTGGCTTTACAGACAGGTATGTTATGTATTTATTGTAGTTTGTTGGGGGAGGGGCCTCCCACACCCTACCCGGGGGNCTAGCCCCAGGTACTCCGCAGGTCTACAGGCATGTATAAAAGGATGTACATTGTACATAGTGTCATCGTCTGCTGGATAACTAAACTACTCGGTTTGAAGCAGCACAGACGTAAAACCACTCCTTAAATCAATCAATCAACATGATATCAATATTGTCTTATTAGTTTGAGCTAGAGGGAGTATCTGTCTTGCTGAGTGGACGAATGGCAGACTAAGAGGTTTGTGGTAACTGGTTCAATCCCAAACAAAGGCATTACGTCTTCTTTTCACTACTTTGTTTCTCTAAACAGATATTACATCCCCTACTACCAACTCCCTGAATACATATTCCTCATGCTCCAAAGTTACCCCAGTCTAATGTATATTTCTCCATACACTTAGTAAACCTACACATTTTGTAGGTCAATTATAGCTTACTGATTGTAATAGAAGTATATAAGTCTAAGGAATGCCCTGGGGTGGGGAGTGAGAGCGAGGGGGCTGTAATACACTTATTTATAAGTCTAGGGAATGTCCTGGGGTGGGGAGTGGGATCGAGGGGGCTGTAATACACTTATTTATATAAGTCTAAGGAATCCCCTGGGGTGGGGAGTGGTAGCAAGGGGGCTGTAATACACTTATTTATATAAGTCTAAGGAATGCCCTGGGGTGGGGAGTGGGAGCGAGGGGGCTGTAATACACTTATTTATATACATGTAAGTCTGAGGAATGCCCTGGGGTGGGGAGTGGGATCGAGGGGGCTGTAATACACTTATTTATGTAAGTCTAGGGAATGGACTGGGCAGGGGATAGGAAGCGCCTTAATACATGTACAGTGTATATATTTCTGTAGTGCCTTTGGATGGGGAGCTATAGAAAAAAGTGTTGGGCAAATAGTTCCTGGAATACTAAAAAGTTGAATGAGTTCCAACAATTTATCTGCCAATACATAAACCTTCACTGAATTTTTGTTGTAATGAGGTGGAGCTGGCCATGTTATATTGTTTACTCTGACCTGGAGCTGGCCGTAGTATATGAGTACAGTGACCTCGAGCCTATAGCATTTACCTATGATTGTCTAAGATAGCTGATTCTATAATGATGTTACCAGGAAGAAAGTCACTACATGAAATTGGATAGGGGTGTAATAACCTCAGAAAACATAGATAAGATTACATTTTATATTTGTATCTCTCTTACAGCTATTCTGTTTAATGCTATAGTGTTCAGAGTCAAGTCTGTTATAGTCTTACCAGCTGAGTAATTGATTTAATAAAAACAAACTATTTTGTGTCACAATTTCTTGAAATTTAAGAGCTTTGATGCACAATTGACACTCTGAAGGCAGTTTTCAATAAAAAAAACCACTTGTCTATATTAAGTTATGTAGAGGAAAAGATTCAAAGGTTTGTTTCACTAATTTAAGTTACAAAGCTTTCAAAGTACTGTTAGCTTGAAAGCTTCAATATTTTCATTCATTTCTGTCTTTTTGTATTAAGCTTAATTTCTGTGGCTGTTACCGTAAAGTTACGATAATAATACCTGAAGCACATGTCCAGTACAGTTTTGCAGATCCTGACCACATCACATTTATCATGTGGAATGTTCTCAAAATCATTTAAATTCAGCTGAAATTATTTTTATGTGAATAAAAGATATAAATGTATTCATGGATTTTAAGATATTTCTAGAAAGAAAGAAAAAAAGATTTATGCCTAATTAAGCTGATCATACTTTGAACAACTTGTTCTGATCAGTTTATAGATTTGTTAGCATAATATGTTATCAACCGAAATGTTCAAAAAAATAATTTCTGAAAGATTTTAAATAAATGTAGTTCATGTCCTCAGGTGTACGTTTAGAATCTTTACATATTTGCTGATTACAAGTTTTAAACATTTGTAGTACAGCAAGGATATTAACTGTTGAACACCTGTAGGGTAGCTCGGTTACACTGACAAATCACTTCAGTTCCCCCGCTGACCCTGATACAGATATTATCATATAGGCACCTAGTGTTACAGTCACTTCCTGCTGAACGAGGAACAAGAAACTCATAAGTAGGTTTATAATTACAGGAGAGTGGAAGTTGGAAGACATGGAAAAAACGTTGGTGTGTCCTGTCCAATTTCGGACTCTTCTTCTACAAAGGTAAGACCCTGAGAGGTATTTCTACAAAGGTAAGACCCTGGGAGGTATTTCTACAAAGGTAAGCCCTGATAGGTATTTCTACAAAGGAAAGACCCTGATAGGTATTTCTACAAATGTAATAAGACCCTGATAGGTATTTCTACAAAGGAAAGACCCTGATAGGTATTTCTACAAATGTAATAAGACCCTGATAGGTATTTCTACAAATGTAATAAGACCCTGATAGGTATTTCTACAAATGTAATAAGACCCTGATAGGTATTTCTACAAAGGTAAGCCCCTGATAGGTATTTCTACAAAGGTAAGCCCCTGATAGGTATTTCTACAAAGGTAAGACCCTGGGAGGTATTTCTACAAAGGTAAGCCCTGATAGGTATTTCTACAAAGGAAAGACCCTGATAGGTATTTCTACAAAGGTAATAAGACCCTGATAGGTATTTCTACAAAGGTAATAAGACCCTGATAGGTATTTCTACAAATGTAATAAGACCCTGATAGGTATTTCTACAAAGGTAAGACCCTGATAGGTATTTCTACAAGACAGGTTTGTGTTTAACTTGTATTTCTGCTGATAGGAGACTGTTTATTCATCTACTTTATTTCAACCTACAATTTAAACACCTGTGTCTATCAGTATGCAGCAAGATGTGCTACTCCTAAGATTTTAAGGGGGAAAAAATACATCAGATGTCCATTTTCTTGAAGCAAAAGGAGGTCTGACAATCAGACTTGTCCCTATTATATGCTAGTTTACATTTATCCAGAAACTGACGTATGCATGTTACAAAAACAATAACCTTACTGGTATACATTAAGCGTTGTGTGTGGGTAGAGATTGAAAAGTGTGTTTTATATTTGTAATATCTGAAGTGATTGGACTAGCAATGAACTTGAAATTAATTGTCTAATTCAGAGTGAGTTATACAATCATTTTCAAGTTCATTGCTCTTTGTGTAGGTGTAAGATAATTGCCTTTTCAAACGTGAATAACGTGAAAAACGTGATAAGCTATGCCTAGTTGTTTAATTTAATATGTTCATTGCTATGGTATGGATTTATTTGTACAGATGACAAGGAGAGTCACACAGTGGGATCCATACTATTGCCCAGTTACAGAATTGAAGAGTGTGGGCCAGCAGACACCAGCAAAAAGTTTGCCTTTAAGGCTGAGCATAACAACATGAAAACGTACATGTTTGCCTCAGACACACAGGACGATCGCACACGCTGGATTGAGGCTCTGAAGTGTGCAGCAGTCCTCAAAAACCCTCCTTCGTAAGTTGTGCTTCTGTCCTTATAACACTTCTTCTAAAGTAGGGCCTTTCTCTTAAAGACCCTCCTTCATAAAAAGCCTTTCTCCTGAAAACCCTTCTTTATAAGTAATGCCCTTCTCTTAAAACCCTCCTGCATAGGTAATGCTTCTTATAACAACTCTTCTATCCTAGTAATGATTCTTTCTATGATACAACTCAATACGTTCATTATGTTGAACCTTCAGTGTTTCTACAGGAAATAAAACAAAAGTATGATAGTACACCAGGACAAAATCAGAAATCAGAGGCAATATAAAATGAAATCACTATTTGGCATAAATGATTTTACTGTAGTTTAGTGATACAATGTATACTAATACATGTACGTTTGTGTCTGTTTCAGGAAGGAGAAAGAGACAAACAACAACACACCTCTCCCCAAGCTGATTCCTAAGTCACCGTTCATGACATGGGATGACGATGAAGATGAAGATGATGACCAAACACCTAGAGGACTGTCATCATGGCAGAATATGTTATCTAAGGGCAATGATCCGGGACCCAGTCAACCAACCACCCAACAGCCACATAAATCGCCTCAGGACGTCAGAGGGGCACCCGAAGGTCATTATCCAAAGAATGATCCAAGATTTGCGGATGGAGATCCCCAACAGCGGGGGAATCAACAGGGCCGAGATGATCCCCGCAGACAGTATCCGGGTAACCATGCACGACCCCAAGATGACCCCAGAATTGTGGATCCGCGAAACAGATATTTACATGATCCTCATCATGGTGAAGATTATTCTCCTCAGCCTAACAATCCTAGGGCAGTTCCTCAGCCCCAGGAGCACAGACAATACTCTCAGCATCAGTCCCGACCCCCTGGGCCGGAACAGCATATCAGTGATCCATACACTCACAGCAATACTCACAAGGATAGGCAGCGCCCCAATGGGTACGGGGACATGGGTAACCAAGGTCAGTTAGGTCAAGGTGAACAGGATCCCTATAGTTACAGTACCAAACACCATAAACACCCAGGCAATATGCAACAAAGGGATGCTAGGCAGGACCCTCGACAGGACCCTCGACAGTTTGACTCTCGTTTAGACCCAAGACATGATCCACGCCAAATGGAACCCCAACAAATTGACCCAAGACACGACCCTCACCAGATGGACCCTCGGCAAATTGACCCAAGACACGACCCTCACCAGATGGACCCTCGGCAAATTGACCCAAGACATGGCCCTCACCATATGGACCCTCGACAAATCCACCCAAGACATGACCCTAATCAGGTGGACCCTCAACAAATGAACCCAAGACACGACCCATACCATATGGACCCTCACCAAATGGACCCAAGGCACGATCCTCATCAGATGGATCCTCGACAAATTGACCCAAGACACGATCCTCATCAGATGGATCCTCGACAAATTGACCCAAGACACGATCCTCATCAGATGGATCCTCGACAAATTGACCCTCGGCAAATGGACCCAAGTCATGATCATCGCCAGATAGACCCTCAACAGGACCCAAGATACTCTTTGTCAAATAAAGACCCTTATGTGAGTAGAAAGGCTGATTCGATGCCAGCCCAGTTTGTGAGGAGAGGGGAGGACCAGAGCAGGAGGAGAGACTCTCTCCCTGGTCATTATAATAAAGACAGGTCCCCTAACAGTAATAGAGGGACAGACATTTCACCCAATAGTAGTTTGGATCCTTATTCGGGTAGGAAAAGTGATTCACTCCCAGGACAATATACAGGAGGAAGGGACATTTCACCCAACGCAAGTAATTACTCTGATGCTGCATATGACAGATACAGCGGACAACCAAATATACCTCAGCAGTCCGGGCGAGTCCCTGACCCTCAAGACCCCTACAGCATGGACCAGTACAACCCAGGGTCAAGGTCACAGGATCCAGGGCCAAGGTCACATGATCTTGGCTACAGTGAAGGGCCAAATCAAAGGTACCCTGATAAAGCAAACCCTTCATCCAGAAATCACTCTCGGGGCGCGCCTGGTACCCTGGAGGGGTTGTATGCCCGTGTAGAAAAGAAGGGACTTGTTTCGAGCAAATTTGGTGTTGAGGAAAATCACTATTTACCCATGGGACCCTTCAGAAAATCTGTTGAGCTGAGCAGTAACAATCACAAGTATAATTCTGTGTAGTTTTACTATACATGTAACCACGGGGATTATCTACATGGGTTTATTAACACAGGTTACGGGTTTTTACAATATACGTACCTCTTCTCTTTCGCTACAGCAGGACTTCAAATTCTGTAATGGCTAGTACAATGTAACAGGAATCTTACAAAAGGTTTCCTAGCATGCTACTCACTCTGACTCTCCTGTCCTCTAGATTTGTGGCTAGGTGTTTCTGTTAGAATTTATGGCATAGTTAAAGGAGAGAAACTTTCATTAAGGGGAAAGGGAAATAAATACAATTTTCTGTTAGCTACTGAAAATTTAATTCAGCTTTCCCAGGACCATGACAAAAGAATATATATAACACATCAGATTGATTTATATCTTGCTCTTATTATCTATAACTTTTTGATACCATTGTAAAACCACATCAAATTAATAGTTTGTTTCTTTTTAACATTATGTTTAAGTTGGGTTTTTTTAATATCATACTAATTTAACTTAAATTAAAAGATGGAGTATATGGCAACTCAAAATTGTTTATGCCTAACTATCACTTGAAACCGACTCAATAATGAACTTTTCAATTTGTTGTTGTCAAACACTGACTCAATAATGAACTTATCAATTTGTTGTGGTCAAGAGACTCGTACATAGTTCATGCTTTCTAATGTGTTTCTATTTCATGGCTTTGTTTCTCGTTCCAATTTTCAATGTATATTATTTCCAAACGCAAACAAATAGTTTAAGATAATATTTAACTAATGTAATTTGCCTGCTGTTGTCTTTGCCCAATGCTTTTCAATGTTTTGGTGAGGTATACATGTATCGTTATTGGTTACGGTGAGCTATCGTGGTGGCAGTATATGTTGCTATGGTAACATGCTATGATGGTCAAATATAGTATTGGTGGCAGACATTCCATTAATTTAGTAATTAACACTGCACTTAACGGTCAGAAGGAGAATTTACAGAACACTCACTCAACAGGATCAGGAAAAGGTTTTTCTTGGAGAGAAAAAAAAACAAAAAACAAATTCAATTATCTGTCAAAATTATGAGAGATCAAATTCAAAAATTCTTTATGATAATTTTACACTTGGGCAATGAAATTTTTTATTGGAAACTTTTTTTTATGTGTGTTAAGAAAAATAGCCCTTCATGCAGTTTTACATTACTCATTACATCATTTGTTAATTAGTTTTAAAGAAAAATGTCCAGGGGCCACATTTCCATTCCCTGTTAATTTGTCCCCAAATATGCTATGTATACAAGGGTTGTTTTCGTCTCATAATGTTAGCCTTGCTTGGTATTGAATGTGTCATTTAATGCATGTGTTCATTCTGAGTTACAACTTTCAGGCTAACACAGCTAATAAGTAATGAGAACTTTGTTAATTATACTCCTGTGTGTTTGGGTGAGCTTTTTGTCGTTTGACATGTGTGCTGTACATGTATTCAGTGGAACCTCGTTGACCTGGCAATAATGATCAGGGAATCTGGATCCAGATTTTCAAGAAATTTCACATTTGTAACTTACTGTCAAGGTAATTCATAGTAAATCATATAACAGAATGTTTTTAGTCAAGATATTTCATGGTATGTTTGCGAAATGGAACGTCAGAGAAACAGTATTTATTCTGTACTTAAATTTACCTGAAAAAAATTAAGTGTATCGTAAGATTATTATCATGATGTTAGCCCTAAACAAGGTTCCACTGCACTGTATGTTTTTTTAAATTGGTTTACACTTCAGCATCTACACAAGATTAATTCAAACATACAAATGAGTATACCGTTCCGGTAATTCTGATGACAAAAGATATGTAGTCTTAATTGAATTCCTATTTTTATTGGTAGATTGTAAGTGAATGCTTTTTGTTTTGACAGATTGGATGATCGAGAGGAGGTAATGATGAGTCATAGAGATGTTCCCCAGCACGCCAAATACAGACCTTCAAAACACGATACTCCCTCAGAACGTTCTAGTGACATTGAGGCTCCGCGACAGTCAGAATACGACGGATTTTACTCACCAACACGTGAGTCTAAACAACGAGAACTTGCCAACCGACCTCTTCCTGCCATAAAAGTTTCAAATAAAACCGAGAACCCACCTGTAAAGTTAAATACTCACCATCAGCGAGAGGACACTGACGATGGTTACAGCACCCTAACGAAATACCAGGAACAACGACGCAAGAAAGCCCAGGATCAGCTGGAGGCACAACAACTAGGGCCAAGGTCACAGCACGACCTCTATGACCATGATCAAGCCTACCCTAGGCAACAAGAACAGCCTCTGGAAGTCAGGGCACCTGAAAATCAGAATGAAGCTTTGCACACCTACGTAAACTTGCCTGACAGGGCCAGTCTGAGAGACCTTCAGGACCGTGACGTCGGGGTGGAGTATATAGAAGAGGTGCCCGAACGTCCTCCCCTTCCCACTGCTGTACGCAAACAAATTGTGCAGGAAATTGCTCAGGCCAAGACCCCAAGGACATCAGAGGAGCTGTTGGAAGCTGAGAGGGCCCTGGAGACCAGGATGCAGCAGCCCTCCTACTTCGACTATCCTACACCTGTGTTTCCTCCAAAGGTAACTAATCTACACTTATTACCGTCAAAGGTAACTAAGCTACACCTGTGTTTCCTCCAAAGGTAACTAATCTACGCCTTATACCGTCAAAGGTTACTAATCTACACCTATTACCGTCAAAGGTAACTAATCTACACCTGTGTTTCCTCCAAAGGTAACTAATCTACGCCTTTTACCGTCAAAGGTTACTAATCTACACCTATTACCGTCAAAGGTAACTAATCTACACCTATTACCTTCAAAGGTAACTAATCTACACCTATTACCCTCTAAGGTAGCTAATCTACACCTATTACCGTCAAAGGTAACTAATCTACACCTATTACCGTCTAAGGTAGCTAATCTACACCTATTACCGCCAAAGGTAACTAATCTACGCCTATAACCGTCAAAGGTAACTAATCTACACCTATTACCGTCTAAGGTAACTAATCTACACCTAATACCGCCAAAGGTAACTAATCTACACATATTACCGTCAAAGGTAATTAATCTACACCTATTACCGTCTAAGGTAACTAAACTACACCTATTACCGCCAAAGGTAACTAATCTACGCCTATAACCGTCAAAGGTAACTAATCTACACCTATTACTGTCTAAGGTAACTAATCTACACCTAATACCGCCAAAGGTAACTAATCTACACCTATTACCGTCAAAGGTAACTAATCTACACCTATAATTACCGTCAAAGGTAACTAATCTACACATATAACCGTCAAAGGTAACTAATCTACACCTATGACCGTCAAAGGTAACTTTCCCACACCTAGGTTTATGCTGTCAGTGTTGGGGTTCATATTATGTTTATGTTGTATCATACTTATATCACATACTCATACAGATGAAAATTCTTTCCTAATTCTGTCGTGCAAAACACAGTGTTGAAAATTTCCCTTCTTTCCTGGATGTATATCTGACTGTCTACCACCTTATATCAGCTCTATTGATTGTCTTGATTCTTTAAAGGCAATTCTTCTTCAATCTTTTAGATCAAGTGTTGTTGTTATATTTTCCACATGTAGCACTTTTACCTGAAGATCATCTTGAGGAAGTTGCATGGGCAATTTATAGACTTATCATATTTATGTCAAGTTCTCATCACTTTCATTTCAAGTCATACTCATTTTATTACTACTAAGCTGTAATATTCTCTCACTTTTAGGATCACCCTGTGTTTGATGAGGAAGCTGAACCTGCAAGCCGGCAACATGGACAAAGGAGTAACAACAGTTTACCTAGGCCGTGGAATCTCCCAGCAGGAGACGAATACACAAGGGGCGGTAATACTGGTTATTATGATAACCGGGTGAACGGAAGTCCATCAAGGGAGAGAACTGTGCCAAAACAAGTGTATGCACAAGGACACCAAAGACAGCCAGAAGGGGACAGGCGACGAAAGGACAGAACCACGGGAAAGCCAGGTAAGTCAGGGGAGCCAACTCACAGGGAAAGTTTTGATATTATAGTACTCAGAAAAGGTTAAGCAGTTTTTAAAATAATGATACAATTTTAGTGTATTATTGAGATTCAGACCTGTACTTGTCTCTATATACTTTTTCATTTAATGTTACTTCTGAAGTAGGTTGAGTTTGAATTTTGAAACAATTTTGAAATATTCTTTTAACTTTTTTTTAACTTTTTTTATTTCAATTAATTTCACATTATCTTTTTGATATCATTTCTACATACTAATTAAAATTTTAAAAATTCGACTTTCGAATGATACTTAAGTTTTTGAAAAGTCTGCTTTAATAAGCCATGCAGCATTTGGCCTCTATATCAGGTGAATTATTTTCAATTTCTAATGTTATTGATGTTTTGATTATCTTCAACAAGTCTGACCTGTTGTATCCATCACATCGGTCTAATACCATGGAATGTATTAAAGAGAACTCAAAAATATGTATAAAATAGCTGTAATGTCACCTGATAATTTATTGTTCAAATACTTGATATATTATATAGTTCAGAGTTAACTGAAGGAATACATGATGGGTCCATTATATCATGTCATACCCACTGGCCTTTAATGTCCTTTCATTGTTACCATTGAAATATCATCACCTTATTCTCACCAGCCACAATCATCACTTCGTTCTCACTGACCACAGTCCTAACCTCATTCTCACCGACCCTGATCATCACCTCACTCTCACACAACCACAGTAGCCATACAGGGGTTGTTTAATTTAGTATAATATATCCAACAGGCAGTAAACATGTCTTGTCTCTCCCATCACACCTAATAACACATCAATCAGGCTTGGCAACTAAAATGTTCACACATTATTTATATGAACAAAAGGTTTATTTTGAGAGAAACTTTTAGAAATTCATGGTCAAGGTCAAATTGGCGACTGACTAAAAAGTTCTGAGCTCTTTGAGTAATGGGAGAGATGGGTTAGATTACTGGACTGACTCGACATCTAACAAGACAATTCAACATAAAGCACTCTTCATGTCTACCACACGACCTCTGTCACACACCACTGGTCGCTGTGTTGCGTCACGACTCTGCAACCTCACACTTTTACTTACGTCTTTTTAATGTCTTCCACCAAAGACTTATTGATGATTATAAGATAGATATTTAACTAGACTGTACAGATTCCTTTACTAATTCTTTACTAATTTGATTCATGTTTCTAGTATTGGGTTAGATTCTAGCAAGTTTGAAGCGAATATTGAGAGAAAAAAATCCTCCATGTGCTTGTTTTTGTCAATCACTTTACCAGCAATGTAACAGATTCACCTTTTAATGGTGAAGCACCTTTATAGATACACAATGAAGCTTTGTAGGGGATAAAACCAACTGCAAACAATAAAATCTTTTCTTCAATCTTTGTTTGTTTTTCTTATACTTATAACATTTCAACACAATGTTTTCACAAAGTAATGTATTGGTAAGGACAGGTTTCGCTGTATTTTGCTGAGGACACACTTAATTACATTTTCATTTAAGAGATCAGATTTATTCCTTCATGTGTCATCTGTTGATTGTCCATCCATCAACTTTTTTTTGTTTTCTTGAAATGATTTCTTTATAAATATTGAGGCCTAGGGACATGCTATATTTGGTATGCAACTTGTAAGGGTGAATTAAGGGTATATATAGTTCAAACAACATTTGCTATCGTTCAAGGTCATGTGTGAAGTATGTTGAAAGACTTCATACAACTTCATATACACATGTCCGAGGGCTGACAAAGCTTATGGTTATTCAAATAAATGACAACATCCTATTTGACCACCGTAGCCAGTGTTGAATTAACTGGCTGTGAGATTAGCATCAAAGCAGGAAACATATTTTGCCAAAACCATTTAATAAATGGTGAGCGATACAATGGCCTGGTAATTAAGACTCTCTTTAGTTTTGCGGTTTTGTTTCTCACACCTTGGTGTAGTTCATAGCCCATGGTTTCAGGTGTTCTGTAGTTCATAGCCCATGGTTTCAGGTTTTCTGTAGTTCATAGCCCATGGTTTCAGGTGTTCTGTAGTTCATAGACCATGGTTCCAGGTGTTCTGTAGTTCATAGCCCATGGTTTCAGGTGTTCTGTAGATCATACCCCTTGGTTTCAGGTCTTCTGTAGTTCATACCCCTTGGCTTCAGGTGTTCTGTAGTTCATGCCCCTTGGTTTCAGGTGTTCTGGAGTTCATACCCCTTGGTTTCAGGAGTTCTGTAGTTCATACCCCTTGGTTTCAGATGTTCTGTAGTTCATACCCCTTGGGTTCAGGTGTTCTGTAGTTCATCCCCCCTGGTTTCAGGTGTTCTGTAGTTATATATATATAAAGCCCGTGGTTTTAGGTGTTCTGTAGTTCAAACCCCATGGTTTCAGGTGTTCTGCAGGTATTTATATATAAAGCCCATGGTTTTAGGTGTTCTGTAGTTCATAGCCCATGGTTCCAGGTGTTCTGTAGTTTATAGCCCTTGGTTTCAGGGGTTCTGTAGTTCATAACCCTTGGTTTCAGGTGTTCTGGAGTTCATACCCCTTGGTTTCAGGGGTTCTGTAGTTCATAACCCTTGGTTTCAGGTGTTCTGGAGTTCATACCCCTTGGTTTCAGGAGTTCTGTAGGTCATACCCCTTGGTTTCAGGTGGTCTGTAGTTCATAGCCCATGGATTCAGGTGTTCTGTAGTTATATATATATAAAGCCCATATTTTCAGGCGTTCAGTAGTTCATACCCCTTGGTTTCAGGCGTTCTGTAGGTCATACCCCTTGGTTTCAGGTGGTCTGTAGTTCATAGCCCATGGATTCAGGTGTTCTGTAGTTCATTCCCCTTGGTTTCAGGGGTTCTGTAGTTCATAGCCCATTGTTTCAGGTGTTCTGTAGTTCGTAGCCCATGGTTTCAGGTTTTCTGTAGTTCATAGCCCATGGATTCAGGTGTTCTGTAGTTCATTCCCCTTGGTTTCAGGGGTTCTGTAGTTCATAGCCCATTGTTTCAGGTGTTCTGTAGTTCATACCCCTTGGTTTCAGGTGTTCTGTAGTTCATACCCCTTGGTTTTCCGATGTTTGTTAGTTTGCACACCTTAGTTGTCATCTGCTCATACATTCATACACATCAGTTGGTTTTTTGGTTTCATTAAGTTCACACACTTTGATTTTTCTGTGTTCTGTGTTCACAAGCTCACGCTGTTGTTTTCAGTGTTCAGAAGTTCAGAAACCTTAGTTTGTAGGTTTGTGCAAGTTCACACTCCTTAGTTTTTGTGTGTTCTAAAGATCATACATCTTAGTTTTCAGGTGTTCCTATGTTCACACACTTTGGTTTTCAGGTTTCTAGAGTGCACCTACCTTGTTTTTATCTGATCATTATAGTCTGCACATCTTTGTTCAGGTGCCTGTTTAGGCACCCACCTGTTTGTCAAGGTACACGTCTTGGTTTTAAGTTAAGTGACCATAAAGGCACACACCTTGGTTTTTCAGGTGCTTGTCAGTGTACACATCTTTATTTTTGAGGTATTCATTAATGTATCTACCTTAGATTTTAGATGATCATTAGAACACACACCTTAGTTAAAATGTAATTCATTTGCACTTACCTTTGTGTCAACCAACAGGCACCATAGAATGGGTTACTAGAAATGGCAGTACAGTGATTTCTTGTTATTTCGGTATTCTATCCTAAATTATTAATCCACTTTAACAATTAACAAATGTTATTGACACATTTTACTTTTGCTTTGCTTTACCATTAATTGGTTGCCATGTTTATTTATAAAATGAATTGAATATAGAATATTTAGATCTTGTTTCATGTGATACGTCTAGCTGGAATATTATAAAAGATAAACTGACTAACGTTAATAAATTTATTTGACTTAAAGTTCATGGAAATATTTTTTATTTTTGTAAAACAAATATAAAAAAAACACAGAAACTGTATAAAATGTGCATCAGTGTTCTACTCCTTTGCTACTTTAACTATTAAAGTTCTGCAGAAAATTTGGCACGTAGAACACCTTCTATAGATTTGCTTTACCACTATACCATCATGCATCAACTTAATTCACGTCACAATTAATGCCATGTTTTGATGCCATGTTAACTAGGATAGAACCTTGTATTACTGTATCAAGTAGATAATAATTGAGAAGTGTTGTGTTACCGTAGACAGCTAACTATAGCGGTAGTGTAGATCATCTTTTACATTGTGTTTGAAATATCCTCAGAAAAGTGCCTGGAAGCATACCTATAGCCTCATTATAACTCTCTCAGGTGGTTTATCCTCAGCAGTAGAGGAAGCCACAGATACCCAAGTTAGATCCATCTGGGACAGACCTGAGGATGGACAGACCGAGACACAGGAGAAAGTGCCTTCGGATAGTCTAGATCCGAAGGAGGGATCCAATCCGAGGGATGTTGAGGGGCTACCAGAGGGAAATATATCTAATAATACAAACAGATCAATTGAGATATTAGAAAAAAACTCTGATGATTCTGTTGAAATATCTAGTGAAGGCCATGTCGACAGGTATAGATCAACAGAAAGTCAGCTGGATAGGTATAAGTCAGCTGAAGGGGTGGTGTACACCCAGGTCAATAGGCAGGTACGGAGGGAAGGCAGAGACGCAAGGGGAACAGGCGCGTCTAAGACAGACAGTGGAAACAGAGAAACAACTAGGGATAGGTCCAAAACACTAACAAAACAGAAGGAGAACCATGCAGATAGAAAGAAAGATGGTGAGAAAGACAAAGGCAGTCGATCCCAGCTTGAAAGTACAGGCTCAGGTCATGTGATCAGTAATTATGCCAACATGAATCCTCTTGACATGCCCTATGAGGAGGTCCACAGGCTTGAGGTCAGCAGCGAGGAGGATGAGGCTGACATGGCTAGCAGGAGGAGAGAACGGCGGTCAGCCTTCCGTCCACTCCTTAGCAAACCAAAAGGCAAGGACACTTTCCAGCGCCTTGACCGTCTGATGGGTACACCACCCTGTCCCCCAAGCCCTGCGGTGTCAGAGACGGTCAGCAAAACTACTCTACCCAGTGGTTACATCCAACCAGCATATCATAATGACAGCAAGCAGAACTTGTTTGATGAGGAAGAGGAGGAAGAAGAAACAATGGTCAAAAAGAGGATATCCATGGCTAGTATAGCGAGTTCTAAGGGGTCACAGTTCAGAGGTCACAACTCCATATCAGGTATATGACTTTATGGCAAGATATTGTTTTATTGATAATTTTAATGAAATGGATTTTATTTTAGAAATATACTAATTTAACTGACTTGTTGGTGCATGCTAGAATCGTGTGATGTAGAGTGTAGCGATTCTCGCAGTAGGATTATCGTAGACTTAACATTTGACAGGTGTAGTTGTATGACCACCTCACAAGTAGGATGACATGTAATGGTACAGTTGTATGACCTGGCAGATGGACCAGGACTCCAAGCTTACTAGATGTATGGTATTGTAAGGCTGTCTGTACAATGTGAGGATACTGTAGGATAACTGATACAGTCATACGTCAGTACATACCGTATAATAGCATGTCCCCATGTCCCTTCATATCAACAGTCTTGTTATTAATAACTTAGGTAACATGCAGGATATTTTACATATCTATCTTAAAGATGGTTTTTGGTCCCCTGGCAGTTATATTCATCTTACTCATATCTTATCTTATAGACATGTTTGTCATGGGTTGTTTCCCGGTCCAAGTGGCTTTGTATCTTTTAATTGTTTTCATCAATGGCTTTGTCAAAGTTAAGGTTTGACAGTCCAGACTGTATTAACAGCATTGTGCCACTAAAACCTGGAACTAAACTGTGCCCCATGTACATTATATATTATATATAGTGTGTGCTTAGCTCTCTGTATACATTTATACATATATATATAGTATCTCAAAGTTATACCCGTAATGTATATATATATATACCTATAATTCATTAATTAACTAAAGTCAAACATTCCTCCATATTATATATATTTATATATATATGTATAGCTATTTTCTCTGACATATAAGACCTACCTCTATTGTTAAAATTCCACATTTGAAAGGTCAAGACCAGTGTGATGGTAAAGTGTTAAAAGATTAATAATCAAACAAAAGTTTAAGTCATAAAAGTAATTGAAGACATATGTTTTGACTTCCTATTGCCTGGACAATCAAAATTAAATGAATATTCCATATCTGTTCCATGCCCTGTTGTCAAGTTGTTACAAGATTTCTACATAGTGTACCTGTATTACTATCTCCAGACATTACCTAGAAAACACACAACCCCACCCATTGTACTCTACAGACACAAAAAACTCACCCCTACCCCTTCTCGACATTACTGACACAACACACAGGCCCATACACCCCCCTCCATCTCCATACATTACCTTGACAACCCCCAACCCCAAACCTTACGCTTTCCTTACATTACTAAGACAACACTCAGCTTTGACATACCCAGCCAAACTTTGCCATACATTTACCCTATCCTGATATTACCTTCATGCAAATCCTTCATCAGTTCATGATATTGTTTTTGTATCAAATCACTGAAAATACAATGATATTAAGTTATCAGTTTCTTACTATTATTCGAACTGTATGTTTTACCTATTTATGTGTTACCTGTGTATGTATACATATATTTGTGTTACCTGTGTCAAGTATTATCTGTGTATATACCTGTATGTGTTAGCTGTGTGTCTGTCCCAGTATTACTTGTGCTTATATATTACCTGTAGCTATGTGTTACCTGTGTGTCTGTACCAGTATTACCTGTGTTTATATATTACTTGTATGTATGTGTTACCTGTGTGTCTGTGCCAGTATTACCTGTGTTTATATATTACTTGTATGTATGTGTTACCTGTGTGTCTGTATCAGTATTACCTGTGTTTATATATTACCTATATGTATGTATTACCTGTGTGTCTGTAGCTGTATTACCTGTGTTTATATATTACCTGTATTTATGTATTACCTGTGTGTCTGTACCAGTATTACCTGTGTTTATAGGTTACCTGTATGTATGTGTTACCTGTGTATTTGTACCAGTATTACCTGTGTTTATATATTACCTGTATGTATGGATTACCTGTGTGTCTGTACCAGTATTTCCTGTGTTTATATATTACCTGTATGTATGGATTACCTGTGTGTCTGTACCAGTATTTCCTGTGTTTATATGTTACCTGTATGTATGTGATAGCTGTGTCTCTGTACCAGTATTACCTGTGTTTATAGGTTACCTGTATGTATGTGTTACCTGTGTGTCTGTATCAGTATTACCTGTGTTTATATATTACCTGTATGTATGTGGGATCTGTGTATCTGTACCAGTATTACCTGTGATTATATATTACCTGTATGTATGTGTTATCTGTGTATCTGTACCAGCATTACCTGTGTTTATATATTACCTGTATGTATGTTACCTGTGTATCTATACCAGTATTAACTGTGTTTACATATTACCTGTATGTATGTGTTACCTGGGTGTCGGTATCAGTATTACCTGTGTTTATATATTACCTGTATATGTATGATACATGTGTGTCTGTACCAGTATTACCTGTGTTATATATTACCTGTATGTATGTGTAACCTGTGTATCTGTACCAGTATTACCTGTGATTATATATTACCTGTATGTATGTGTTATCTGTGTATCTGTACCAGTATTACCTGTGATTATATATTACCTGTATGTATGTGTTATCTGTGTATGTGTACCAGCATTACCTGTGTTTGTATATTACCTGTATGTATGTATTACCTGTGTGTCTGTACCAGTATTAACTGTGTTTATATATTACCTATATGTATGTGTTACCTGTGTGTCTGTACCTGTATTAACTGTGTTTATATATTACCTGTTTGTATGTATTACCTGTGTGTCTGTACCAGTATTACCTCTGTATCTGTACCAGTATTACCTGTGTTTATAGGTTACCTGTATGTATGTGTTACCTGTGTGTCTGTGCCAGTATTACCTGTGTTTATATATTACCTATATGTATGTATTACCTGTGTGTCTGTACCTGTATTACCTGTGTTTATATATTACCTGTATGTATGTTACCTGTGTATCTATACCAGTATTAACTGTGTTTATATATTACCTGTATGTATGTGTTATCTGTGTATCTGTACCAGTATTACCTGTGTTTATATATTTCCTGTATGTATGTGTTATCTGTGTATCTGTACCAGCATTACCTGTGTTTATATATTACCTGTATGTATGTATTTCCTGTGTGTCTGTACCAGTATTAACTGTGTTTATATATTTCCTGTATGTATGTGTTACCTGTGTGTCTGTACCAGTATTACCTGTGTTTATATATTACCTGTATGTATGTATTACCTGTGTGCCTGTACCTGTATTACCTGTGTTTATATATTACCTGTATGTATGTTACCTTTGTATCTATACCAGTATTAACTGTGTTTATATATCACCTGTATGTATGTGTTACCTGTGTGTCTGTACCAGTATTAACTGTGTTTATATATTTCCTGTATGTATGTGTTATCTGTGTATCTGTACCAGTATTACCTGTGTTTATATGTTACCTGTATGTATGTATTACCTGTGTGTCTGTACCTGTATTACCTGTGTTTATATATTACCTGTATGTATGTGTTACCTGTGTATCTGTACCAGTATTTGTATGTGGGCGTTACAGGTGAGGGAGGTAGGAGACAACATGGGAAGATGGACCCCGGACCTATACATACAGTGAAAGAGGACCCTGATATGGCTGATGAGGATGTCATAGTAAGTATTTATTGTCCTCATAAAGTTGTTTGATGAGTATTTGTTACTACATACAATTTGAACAATATTTGCTTTTTATTAGTTTTAATTATAACTGCCATTGATTACTATCATAATATTGAATTAATTTTAAGCACAACTACTTCTTTAGATATAATCTGTACACACACAAAAGTTTCATTAGTTTTTATATATTAATTCATAAGTACAAATTATGATTAAACAAAACATCCACTCTCTTATAAACAAGGAAATTAAAAGGGATTAAAAAGTTTCAACTTCAACCTAGACACTGGTTCAAGGTTAATAACCTAGGTAACTTATAGACAAATGCCATTGTTTTAATGTATATTGATCAAATAATGTCCGTACTATAGGAATTCCGGGGTGTTCCCAACTTGGCAAAGAAGTATCCCTTGAGTGGTGGTCGCATCAGAATGAGCATCTCCGCTGGTGACCTCATCGGCAAAACGGTAACTTCCATTAGAAATTCATTTCATTATTTCTGCATATTAACAGTGGAATTTCATTGAAAATAACATATATAATACACATGATTAAGTACATGAATACAAACAATCTGAGTCTTTTTTACTACTATAAGTATACAATGTAAGTGCATAATAATTATAGTATGTGGAAGTTACTGGTATATATATTGATTTACATGTATAGGGTAAAAACAATGGTAACTTTGATGATACTACTTGGTGATGCAGTTCTAGTGTCAGAATAGTTCCCAAGACAAATATGCTTAATGTGTTGTGAATAATTCATATTTTCCACTTCAGCACGACGAGCTTGTGTTGCTGTTGATCCAGTTAAGACGAGAACATGCAGATCTAGAAAAGGAGCGCAATTTCTTCAGAGAGAAGGTAGACCAACGGCGTGCCTCGGAGCAAAACTACAGACGCCTGTAAGTCTTAACAGATTTTGTGATCATCAAAATTAATCAGTTTTAATCATTGCATGGAAACGGATGCAAAGAATCAGGTAACAGGTGTGATGAAAAAGGTATTTTCGTTGGCTATGATGTAAGGACATCCTTCATTGGCTATGATGTAACAACCTCTGTCATTGGCTATGATTTGAGGACAACCTCTGTCATTGGCTATGATTTGAGGACAACTTTCATTCAATACTAAATAAATGATAACAAAACAGTATTATGGTTTACTATAATTATTGAAAAAAATAAATAGATCTATGTTCTACTGAAACATATCAAAAGCACAGAAAAATTAGACATTTTACAGTATTGAGACAGAGTATTACCTAGATGAAACAGTGTATTAGCTAGAAAGGTCACCAGGGTATTATAATTACATCGTCAAAGAGATGTGCTTGTCTTTGGTTACAGTCTCCAGGAGTCAGATGGACCATTTGACCAGCTGACTGAGAGAGAACATTATGAATTCATGCAACTACGCAGCCAGCTGGACGATGCTGAGAAAAGGGTCAGTACACTCACACCTGAAGATTGTCTTGCAGAAGAATTAAGTATTGTATAATGTATTTGAACATTATGAAGGAAAAACACAGTTTTCATTACTTTTGCTTGTGAGAAGTGCACTTGTATTTAAAATGAGATGGCAAGGTTCGGCATATAAAATGATAATTTCATGTTTCAGTTGGAGGTGTACAGACCCATGGTCAATCTGGTCCACAACATGGTCAATATGGGCAGTCTGTACGGGGGAGATAACTTCATGTTGGCCAGTCAGTACAGGAAGGTAGGTCATCTCAAGGTTACAGGGACATATACTTTTGGTATACTTGATTCCATCGTAATAAGGTGAAAACATATATTGTGTTGTCTAATCTACACTGAAATCCCTGCGCTCTCTACTGGCCAAAGATATTGGAAAATGTTCTTTTTGAATGCTCATATTCATCGTAAAACTTGTAAAATCTCATGGTATGTACTTTCCATATTATTACTTACCCTAGTAACATCAGTATTAACTTAGTAACATCGATATTTCTTCTATTTAGCACCTGCTGTCTCCAGATGAGTTCACTCCACCCAAGAAGATGTTGGAGTTCTCACGGAAACACCAGGAGGAAAAGATCGTACATGGCATTAAGGAAGATATCAAACAGCTGTCTTCTGATGAGGTCATTCTGGAGGTAGGTCAAGTTCAAGCTCTGTGTAGGTCAAGGTCAGAATATAAGTATAGGTCAAGGTCAAATTAAGGGTAGATCATTATAAGTATTTCAAATCCGTTTTTTAGCTGTATGTTAAGTATTCTTTACTTTAACCCTTTCATCCCTAAAAAACTTTCATAACCTCTACCATGCATAGATCTGTATAAGTCCATTATGGTCTACAGTGGTGAAAGGGTTAAATACCATTTGACATCAGTGGAAATCTTAATACATAACTTCTGAAGCTTAAAAGTTTCTCAGGTCAAGGTCACTGTTAACAAAATATGGCATGGGGGTGCACTGTTGGACACATAGTTGGGCCCTTGCTGTCCTGTCAGTGTTCTAGTTCCAATGAGCTGTCATAACTAATGATATACAAATGACATGTCATGAAACAGTTTTTCTATGTGTAATTTCCACACCAGGACAAACTTGAAAAACTCTATGAGTTAGACCGACGGATGCATGAGCAATCGTACCATGTAGCGCAGGCCCAAGAGGACAAAGACATGCTAGAGAAGGCTCTACAGGGAATCCTACGCCAACAGGACATGTGTCGGGACAACATACGCGAACAAGACCAGCTCATACACCAACAGAGGACCATAGAAAAGGAGATCTCCCGCGTCATGCACCAACTGGCCAAGTCCTCTGGGGTAACTTAACCGCAAACTTTTAAAATACTTACTCTTTCTCATCATGCACCCTTACACCAAGACCTCCAGGGTAATGAAACCACATGTTTTAAAATCTATCAACTGGCCAAGGGCACCAGTATAAGTAAACCCCATACTTTATAGTACAAACTGCCCAAGGCCCTAAAGGTAGCTAGAAACTGTCGACTTGTCACATTACACTTTTTAATGAAATTTTTCAATACCATAGAGCTGTTTTATGTTTTAATGATGACACAGTCAGCTCTGTGGTAAATCTGTTACAACTTTAACTGTCCTTAATTACATACTTAGTTATAGTCAGCTGTATGGTAAATTTATACTATTGTCTGCTATACTTAATTATATTATTTTATAATCAGAGTTTTAATTTTCATTCCAGGATCTTGAAGAAACTACAGCAGAAAACAACATGATTGAACATGAAGTAGCATTACTAAGGTCAAAAGTCACAGGAGAATTGTCTCGTAGCAAAAGTGCTCCCTCTTTGGTAAGTCAATCAGTGATGTCATAGTGAATATTCCATCAAATCAGCTTGAAAACAACTTATATTATAAAACCTATAAACATAGATAGCCACCTCCATTGCATCACCTTTAGATCGCTCATTCTGTTAATTCACTGGATTACCAAGGGTATGTTCAGAAGTGAAATCTCTGGAACAATTTCCTGTTTGCCAAGAGCACTCTGCGCTAAGACCTCTATAGATCAAGGGCCAGCAATGGGTTTTCTGTAAATGTATTGAACACTTCGCTGATGTCATTAATGTATGCCACTTTAGTTTATTCTTTGTTCAGTTTGACCTAGGGCTATAACTACATGTGACATGTGAATATTGTATTTATCATACAACTAATGCCTTTCTGACATTTCATCTGTTTGGTTGGTACCACTGTGATGCTTTGTGACTTTTTGGTGATCTACATTTTGGTATTGTTGGTATCCACTGTAATATCTGACCTTGGAATCCATATTACAGTCTAACGAAAGCCTTAGAAACAAGATGAAGATGGAAAAAGACTTGGCTCAGGTCAAGAACATCATGGCTGGATTAAATCAGCAAGGGGCAGAACTGTCAGAAGCCATGAACACGTTACGGAGGTCATCTGCCGGAGCCAAATTCGCATCAGCATTTACTAAAGTCGACCAAAGTAAGTTTCCTGTGTTTAAAACTCTGTACATTGAGGAAAAGAGAAGTATGTCACTGTGAATGTAAGGGTATACCTTACGTACTGATCCATGAAATTGATCAGGGACAAATTGTTATTGGCAGTTAAAAGTTGAACTCTATTTATAACACACATTCTAATGTTTGAAGAAAGGGCATTTATGCAACACCTTATCTGATGTATTGAATTTACTCTAAAAATACAGCTCTAGGTAAAAATTCTGCTTCTAAAAGTTCAAAACTCTCATCTTACTTGTTTACAGACAACTTGCCTAAGCCTGCACCTATGAGTACTTACTTTGAGACGGATCTTGACTCAGCCAAAACAACAGATCTATCACAGGTGCAGGAGATATTGATATCCTATCGTGATCAGACACCCGTCCAGACCTCACCAACAGTAACTGTCAAGTCTCAGCATCAACCAATCATGTCCATTAAGGTAATTCATAAGGAAACTGAAAGTAGGTGCATCAATCCCAACATATCTGTTTAGGTAATATATATGGAAACAGAAAGTAGGTTTAAGTATGGCACTAAGGTAATTCATTTGGACCCAGAAGGTAATTGTATCATCTGATCATGATTGTTTAGGTAATTCGTAGGAAAACAAACAGAATGTGTTATATCTATTAAGTGTTTCTAATAAGTTTAATGTCACTTTGTCAAATGACTGGTACACGTGTAAATAAGCGATAATGGTTGTGTTGTGTAAGTGAATGCAACTTATTTTTCTGTAGACCACATCAAGCCTGGAGAGTAGCCCCAGCAGGATCCCTGCGGTGGAAGACACAGTGGACGGACAGTGGGACATAGAAGAAGCAGACGACAACACTAAAAGATTTTTCGGTGGGTTTCTAATGTAGTATGAAATTAAATATTTCAGGATCATAGTGAAACAAAAAAAGTAAGTTTCTTGCTTTTACTTGTAAATTGAAATTAAGAGGACATACTGACAGAAAAAAATCTGTTTTTAAAAAAGAAATGTATATCAAAAGAGATAGTCTGGACGACATTCTATATTATAGTAATTGTATGTCTAGGTATCCTGCCCAAGGACAAGCCTAAGACACTGACTGTGCGGGATGTGAAACGACAGTCAGAACAGAGAAAGGAGCAACTCAAAGTTCGCAAGGAAACTGAGGAGGATGGTGGTGGAGGTATGTATCAGCCATATGCTCCAATAAATCCCTCCTTCTTATCAAAAGTCATTCTAAAATACAATTTCTCTTTAAGAAATGTCAACCTAAGAAATGAGTAATATCATGAAATTGAATATTGTTATTGATAGTTAATGATTTGTATTAAATATGAAATATAAGACATGTACCTAAGAAATGATCATTTAAGACAATGAGTACTATCAAGTTAAAATATATATATTAATATTGGCAATACTATCAAATATTTGTTGGAGTCATTTTTTGCATAACATAAAACACATGAAGCAATATATTTTATAAAATTACATGCAGTCGTTCAAAACTTAAATATTTGGAAACATATAAAGTTAATTAACAAAAATGAAATAAGAAATTCCAGGGGTCAAATTTAACTTATAACCTGTCCACTTCCAATCCTAAATTTTGCCAACATTACTATCTAGGAATTGTAAAAGCAAGTATGAAAATGAAATATGAATGATTTGCCAGAGAAGAAATCTCTTAACCAGAGAAACTCCTTTTGGTGTCTTTATGCAACTCATGCATCTACTACATCAGTTGAATGTTTGTTTTATCCCCAGAGCCCTGGAGCTACAATGGTGTAGATACAGAGCAGGTAAGTCTGACAAACATTTGCATGACCAAGATTTGATATATTATTAAATGTTACCATTGATATTTAACCAAAACCTTAGTTTATTTCAGTGTCATGAATATTTATATTACACAAGTAATACACAGAAAAAGTATATTTGTATGTACAGAGAAAGTTTCTGTGTCCAAACACTATATATATATATATTTTATAAGTAATACACAGAAAATCAATATTTATATATGTATCAAGGAACTTTGTTAGTCCAGACATTTTCATTTTCGTAATAAATGTCCGAAATAACATATTTTATCATATTCTGGCTCTGCCTGTATAAAACATCTCATTTGTTGTCATTTGCCAATATCTGGGATTTCTTACTGATTTGGTTGAGATCCTCACGTTTGAGATGTTTCATACAAGTAGGGCCTGGTTTACCCTCCCAGCTCCACTGTACCTCAGGTATTGCTGATCACCAATACAGACCAACACCGACATTACAAAAAGGTTGTGGAATATCCATGCTGTCCCTGGGGAAATTCTGTCATTGCCAACTGTTTAACTTATCAGTTTTTTTTGTCGCAGAGTATAATAATGTGCAGGGGAAATTTTCAAAAATTCCAAATACATGTATCTGTATACAATGTTGAGAAAGATGTTTTGAAAAAATCCATCTTTGCTTATTCTTTGTTTAATTTCCAATTTATTTGACAACGTAAGGTATAAATACCACATTTTAGCACTGTTAAGTAGAAGGGGATTAGTTCTAATAAAATTATATGAACCAGGTTTAGTACCATATTTGGCTCTTTCTATCAGGACGCTTAGTTCAGATAAATCACTCATTGTAAAAAAAAAAAAAAAAAATGGAGTGAATTGGGTTTTTGTCAAGTGGTCAAGGTTACCACTGATGAAGTGTGATAATAGCATACATAGGTGATGAGCGGTACATGCAGTGCGAGTGATCACTATCACGCAGACAAGCATCAGATCAACACAGATTCACAGTGCCCCGTTACACAGAACTAGCTGATATCACCATCTGTTATAATGTTACAGTCCTCATTCAACTCCATTAGCCAGAGAAATTAGAGATATATCATAAAACTAGATTAACATTTATTTTGTTGGGTTAATGGTTTAAAGTACAGATGAATTGGATGGCAAATTGTAGACTTTATCAGCTTTTATTACAAGTCTATACCTAATTTTAAACCTTGGAGCTAAGGGATTTGTAACTGCTGAAACCCTGGTGATATCAGACAGATAATTGTCAGAGGATCGTTATAGGTATTTACTCGTTATGTAAAATGTTGTTCCATGCATGCTTGATTCAATCTGTGGTTTAAAAGGTCAGCATCATTTTTCTCGAAAGTCGTGAGAATTTTGAATTACAAAACTGTTCAGCAATGCTTTTAGGCTGTTTGAAGTTATGCTATCAATAATTGTATGAGTTGTTTTCTAATAACTTTGATGTGGGATGCTTTTAAACACAGAATTGGTTCAGCATTTCGTATCGGTGTGATGTTGTCACAGGAAAGGGATGTCGTATACGACAGGAAGTCACGCTGTTCATATTTTATTTGTGGTAATATTGTAACGATTGATTTGTGTTCTGATTAAATCGAAAATATTTGGTTGGAAACATTGACAATAATATTGAGTATTGTCAATCAACAATTATAACATTGAAGGATAATTATTATAAAAAGAGAATTATTTCTTTTTTTCATTCCAAAATATTCTTAATGTTGAAAGCAGAAGTGTCTTCAAATGTTTAAAAATATATATGGATACCTTATATAGAGAAGTGTTATGGCAAGGCTCCTAACCTGTGACAATAGGATTCTGGATACTGAGACTGTTACTTTGTGTTCTGCTTTGTGTGAATTGTGTAGTAAACCAGACTCATCTCCAGTCTTCATTATTATTCCCTATGATTGAGCTTCAGAATATCACTAACTGTTTTTGTTTTTGATGCCTAAACAGCCTGCAGGTTCAAATTATACTCAACCCAGTATCAATAATCAGGGACCCATATACGAGAACCTACCACCGTCTCATTCAGCCCCGAGGAAAACGTGGTCGTCTGTCAACGCTCTGGCCACACCTGGCTCTGCCCCAAACTCCCGCCGATCCTCTGCCCTCCATCTCATGATGCCCCGCCCATTTGTGCCATTTGGCAGCCAGCCAACATCAACACAGACAAGTTACAGCAGTCTTAATGTAGACAACCAATCAAAGACGAGTGGGAGTTATAGACTTGGCCAATCAGATGATGACTCTATTGTCAAGGCAACTAGAGTGATTATCCAGCCCCAGCTGGATGATGCTGATACCACTGCGATGAGCCCCACAAGTCCTCCACGTCATGGCATGTTTAGTGTGAAGCGTACTCCTAGAGGGCGCTATATGACAATATCTAGTAGTCAGCCGGTGAAGTTAGAGACTACCTTAGTACAGCCATCCACACCCAACACTGCAGCCGGAGACCTGATCATTAACAGATCTGTAAGCTCCCACACTGATTGTAATGTATTAGTAGATAGAGCAACACTCAATTATCTCCCTTGTGACAATTATCTCCCTTGTGACGATTCATAGGTGGATAGATACAAGCCTTAGTCAGGGACCTTTCACAGTTACCTCTCCTAGGTTTGCCATATATATTTGTATTATATCCCATTGGCAGTATACATATATACTATGTATGTGCTATATATCCAGAAATGCATGTAAAAAGAAAAATATATAACCACCTAAATATGATAATAAATCCACTGTTATATATCTTGAGAACAATATTCTTATATTCCTTTATATTGTCATTGTGTTGGTTATTGTTTGATTGCCTATAGCCTACTATTACAACCTCAATCTATACTGGTGTGTGAAGGGTACTTAGCCTGCAGTTATAAAAGTCGCACACCATATTCATTGTATATATCGATGGTATTACAAAAAGTTTTCTGAGCCAAAAAACCTGCAATGTCGGACGACATTTTAAGAGTGCATGCCTTGTTACTGGATTTAATTATAACCTTAAGGCTTTGGCTCACACTCCTAGTTATAACATGATCATTAGTAAATTATAAAACAGTCCAAACCTATGGAATCATGAAGCTTAGTAAAGTTAGGTTAAGTCCTAGCTGGCGTTGTGATTCTGTATACACTAAGATCATGTTTTGAAAGTCCATCAGTAATGTTAAATGCAATAATTTTGTGAGAGGATTTCTTGATTAACATTGCTTAGACTTGTAGTTATTAACTTGGGTTGTTGAATAAGTTTGCTGTAATATTGATCAATCTTGGAGTACGGCATATTTTCATTATTACAGAAGTGTTAAGTTAGACACATACCTGTTGTTTATACTAGTAGGTATTGGCATTTCCCCCGTTATACTACCCCAGTATATATAACCTGATAATATTTCCTACAGCGGATGGATGTGCCGGATATCGTACAGAGCTCACAGATGCGTGACGATCAGACTATAGACACAGGCACCATTGACAAGGAGATCGTAAGTGATCACTTTAAGTTTAAAATGAAATTAATTCGGAGGTTTTTTATTTACATATTTATCCAGCAATGAGCCCTTGCCTGCTGATAATCTCACCCATATCTGTTGTAGTTCAGAAAAAAAAATGACAATACATGCTATTTCATTGTCCTGTAATTAGCCCACCCCTTACTTTGAGTCGGGATTATGTGTGGGCCACCTAGGCTTAGATAAATATGCTAGTGTAAACTTAGTTCTGTGCTTGGCATGCAGTCTTTAGAATCCTGACAGATTGATGGTGTTTGGAACCAACATAAACGTACAAGCCATACCGGTGTAATCTAGAGCTCTTAAAGAAGCTCGATGATATTGAATTCATCTCATTTAAGTAAAAGTCATGGTTTCTGATCAACTACCTCAAGCTTGATAACACTTGGTACTACAGGTGCTTGTATTATTAGTATATCCTAACATGTACAGTAATGAACCGTATAATCAACAAACCAATCACTATGATGGCCACCATTACCACAAGCTGAGTGAGGAGAAGCTTGTTTAAGTTGTTATAACTCCCAAATCCTTTTAATTATTGGCTGTAATATATGTTTAGAATAAAAACGAAATGCTAATTTATAGCACCTATCTAGCCTGTCAATTTCCCTAATTCTGAAATTTCATATTATTGTCTGGGTTTAATATTTCTTAACTAAGATCATTTTTGTGAAATAATTGAGATGAATTTTGAATTATATCACAGAAACAATTTTATATTTTTTGAGAATTGACCGTTGTAATTTTATCTATTAGTTCGTCTCTACTAATGTCCTGTATGTGTTGCAGCTTTTCGTACCAGACAAGGTTCTGATCCCAGAACGGTATAATCCAGAATCCGATGAGGAGGACCTCACTGAGGAAGACCAGGCAAGGAGGCAAGAAAAGTCAGAGAAAATCAAGAAACTTCTTGCTCAGCAAAGGTAGGGCAGTGACTGTATCACAGTCTTAGACAGCAGATGTTTGTGAAGGTCACTAAATATTCCCAAAGGCCATACAATGCAATCCATTTTTATTTAGGAAATTGATATGTTTGCAATTTCTTGGTCAAAACTAGAACATACTTGCAATCTTAATTCATTATCTCAAACAATTTTTGACCAGAAACTACATTTTTGTATTACTAGCAGTTTTCAAATATCACTGTTCAGCTATGCATCAGTTGAAACAAAGAGGTTAGTGCCATCTATTGTTTATGAGGTTCTCACATATAGCTTAAAAAGTGAACATTGCTTGTAACAGGTGAAATAAAGTGAAAATGCTATTAACCAGATAAAATGCATTACCACTTAATTAACTCACTGATATTGTGCACTAGTTGTCTTGATATATGTTGACTACCTCTAGACCTCTTGTGTCATACATTAATTGTGTTTGAGGATGTCAATAAAGTGTGCTATCTGGTTACAGTATCCACTCCATCTCCCAGCCTGATGTCAGCCAGGTCGCGGGGGAGCTACATAAGAAGGTGGAGCAGGAGAAAGTGAAGCGTGCCGAGCTGCTACAGGTGGGACAAGAGCTGGCACGTCAGGTGACCCTCAAGACACGGCAAGCCGCAGGTAATGAAGCCTCCCCAGGTGTTCTCCTCACCCGTGTATACCAGTCACAAGCTGGCCAGCTCTATATCAAGCTTTGTACTCTTCACTATTATACTGTAATTAATTCATCTCTTTATGAGATGATGCATTTATTTGCACAGCATTTCTTTTAATGGATGCACTATTACAAAATTAAAGGAATATATTTGTAAAAAAATCAGTTAGATGTTGATACAGAGGATAGCACTACCATATATATAGCACTATAGTGCACACAGAGTACTAAACCAAAATGCCCTTGTCAACCCTATATGGGGACAGATTTGGGTCAAGCCTTGTATACCCAATTTTGAATCCTTTTCCTAATGGCTAGGCCCCTCAATGGGAAATTTCACCTTAAATAAGGAAATAAAACCAGTATGTCTGACTGTCTCAGGGATGAAGTCTGTCCATTTCTGTGTAAACCAATGTATATTATACATACAATCAAACCTGTATTAAGCGAACGACATCTGGAACTTTAAACAGTTGTCTCTTGAAACAGGTGGCTCTTAATAGAGGTGGTCTCGTAGGCACATTTGACAGTAGTAATTGCTTTGATTTGTATATTGCCCTGAAGATGCTGATTTTTATTACAGTATAGAAATATGAGACCTTTACTAATCATTTTAGTTACAATGTACTTGTGCATTAACTCTGAGAATATTTCGTGGACTAGTTGTATAAACGAAGGAGTTTGAATGATTAATGAAGGTTTAAAAAAAAAAAAATGCCTCAAAAAATGTGTATGTATATTTTGCCCAATTATATGCAAGTAACATTTGACTTCTCTTGCGATCTATATAAATGCCATTCTTAAGAAGGGTCACAGTGGCTTAGTGGTTAAGTCGTCTGTCCGTCTACAATCACAGGGTCATGGGTTCAAAGCCTACGTGGGGCAGTCGCTAGGTGCTTGCCGCAGATCGGTGGTTTTTCTCTGGGTACTCTGATTTGCCTCCCCCTGTCCTGGCCTTAAATGACCCTATAGCTGTTAATAGGATGTAAAGCACAGCCAAACCGAACCAAAACTTGGTTTAGAACAGTGACCTAAATATTGGAATATCAATAATCAGACACTTTAATTTTCAAAAGGGAAAAAATTCAATGTCTGATTTTAAAATTTTGATCCTGTTTCTTTTTTGTTTATTATATATATTACAGTAGAAAGGTTTGTGATATTCAGGAGTCTCTGGGTTGTTTTTCTATTTCCTTTTCACTCAAGTGTAAATGAAATTCTTTTATTTTGTTCATTTATATATCAATGGAAAACTACTGATGTCTGAACAGTTACGTTGTTAATTGTTGATAAACAGTTTTTGAAATATCAAAATTAATATGACTTAAATTGCTATTAAGTTTTGTTATAATTGATAATTTTTCACAATTTAATATCAAAGTTTGAATATAAATAACTGTCCATTTTCGGTAGATGTTGCTCCGGCCAAGCAAGTGTATGTATAGAGGGAGGTATGTGTTATCATATCACATATATAAACATTGTACAGCATTAATACTCATGTATCATTTAACACGCTGTGTATGTGATAGTGGGCTTTGTGTTACAGCGACACGACAAGTATCATCTATTTGAATTACAGAAAACATCTTGTTGACTTCGACTCTTTGGGGTACTCCCATAACATGAGAGGCGGGGAGACTGTCTATATCTCCATACCTACATACTGGTAGAGTGTCTATATCTCCACACCTACATAGTGGTAGACTGTCTATATCTCCACGCCTACATACTGGTAGACTGTCTATATCTCCATACCTACATACTGGTAGAGTGTCTATATCTCCATACCTACATACTTTGGGGGAGACTGTCTATATCGCCACACCTACATACTGGTAGACTGTCTATTTCTCCATACCTACATACTGGTAGACTGTCTATGTCTCCACACCTACATACTGGTAGACTGTCTATTTCTCCATACCTACATACTGGTAGACTGTCTATATCTCCATACCTACATACTTTGGGGTAGACTGTCTATATCTCCACACCTACATCCTTTGGGGTAGACTGTCTATATCTCCACACCTACAGACTGGTAGACTGTCTATATCTCCACACCTAAATACTTTGGGGTAGACTGTCTATATCTCCACACCTACAGACTGGTAGACTGTCTATATCTCCACACCTGCATACTGGTAGACTGTCTATATCTCCACCCCTACATACTTTGGGGTAGACTGTCTATATCTCCATACCTACGTACTGGTAGACTGTCTATATCTCCACACCTAAATACTTTGGGGTAGACTGTCTATATCTCCATAGCTACATACTGGTAGACTGTCTATATCTCCGCACCTGCATACTGGTAGACTGTCTATATCTCCACCCCTACATACTTTGGGGTAGACTGTCTATATCTCCACACCTACATGCTGGTAGACTGTCTATATCTCCACACCTACATACGGGTAGACTGTCTATATCTCCACACCTACAGACTGGTAGACTGTCTATATCTCCACACCTAAATACTTTGGGGTAGACTGTCTATATCTCCACACCTACAGACTGGTAGACTGTCTATATCTCCACACCTGCATACTGGTAGACTGTCTATATCTCCACCCCTACATACTTTGGGGTAGACTGTCTATATCTCCATAGCTACATACTGGTAGACTGTCTATATCTCCACCCCTACATACTTTGGGGTAGACTGTCTATATCTCCATAGCTACATACTGGTAGACTGTCTATATCTCCGCACCTGCATACTGGTAGACTGTCTATATCTCCACACATACATACTGGTAGACTGTCTATATCTCCATACCTACATACTGGTAGACTGTCTATGTCTCCACACCTACATACTGGTAGACTGTCCATATCTCCACACCTACATACTGGTAGACTATCTATATCTCCACACCTGCATACTGGTAGACTGTCTATATCTCCACACCTACATACTGGTTGACCCCTTTTCTCTGACCTCTCACCTCTGACCCGGGATTTCAGCTAAAACAAGTTGCCAACATATATAGTGAATGCAACAAAACTGCAGTAAATTTTCTAGATAATCCACAAGTCAACTTTACAAAAGTATCTTTGGAAAGAGCAGAAAAGCATTGTGTACTGAAGGATTACTTCAAATCAAAGCTTCACAGGAACCTTGTTCAATAAGTGATTGTTTCTGTGAATTGTTGTCAATTGTCAATTATGTTTTTGACTTGATCAAAACGACAATTTACTGACGTCATGTATCACAGAGATATGACGTCATGTTTCAGAATGGCAGCCGACAAGACACTGAACATTCTGAAATCAAACAGTAACTTTTTTTATGCCGAACAATCTCTTTTTTTATGCACTACCTAGTAAAGATTTAGTTCTCAGAGCAGAAGTCATTGAATGAGGTCATGTTTGACGTATGTTGTGCCTGAATAGGTCACATGTATACGGGATACTTGTGTCTATGTAGAGGTGGGAGAATACCCTGGTATACATATCTACTAAATTGGGGAAAGTTATTCTGCATGCTAGTCAGAAGAGAGATCATTGGTGCTTATAAAAGTGAAGCATACATTTCGACACTTGTTGCCATTAATTTGTAATGTTGAGTGTCATGTGTTAACAACAAGTTTGCATGTAAACTAACGTGAATGATAACAACTGACCTTAATGTGAATACAACATGACAATACGTACGGCTGAGTAATTTACACTCCCATTAACTACCATGGGGAGATCAGGTAACCTACCGCTGAGTGACGTATGTTGTGCCTGAATCGGTCACATGTATACGGGATACTTGTGTCTATGTAGAGGCGGGAGAATACCCTGGTATACATATCTACTAAATTGGGGAAAGTTATTCTGCATGCTAGTCAGAAGAGAGATCATTGGTGCTTATAAAAGTGAAGCATACATTTCGACACTTGTTGCCATTAATTTGTAATGTTGAGTGTCATGTGTTAACAACAAGTTTGCATGTAAACTAACGTGAATGATAACAACTGCCCTTAATGTGAATACAACATGACAATACGTCCGGCTGAGTAATTTACACTCCCATTAACTACCTTGGGGAGCTCAGGTAACCTACGGCTCACTTATTTACACTCCCATAAACTACCATGGGGAGATCAGGTACCCTACGGCTGACTTATTTACACTCCCCCTAACTACCACGGGGAGATCAGAGCATACATTTCGACACTTGTTGCCATTAATTTGTAATGTTGAGTGTCATGTGTTAACAACAAGTTTGCATGTAAACTAACGTGAATCACTACAACTGACCTTAATGTGAATATATCATCATAATACGTACGGCTGAGTAATTTGCACTCCCATTAACTACCATGGGGAGGTCAGGTAACCTACGGCTGAGTTATTACCCCCCCATTAACTACCACGGGGAGATCAGGGTACCTACGGCTGAGTTATTTACACTCCCCATAACTACCACGGGGAGATCAGATAACCTACCGCTGAGTTATTACACTCCCATTATACGTACGGCTGAGTAATTTACCCTCCCAATAACTCCCAGGGGGAGATCAGGTAACCTACCGCTCACTTATTTACACTCCCATTAACTACCACAGGGAGATCAGGTAACCTACGGCTCACTTATTTACACTCCCATAAACTACCATGGGGAGATCAGGGAACCTACGGCTGACTTATTTACACTCCTATTAACTACCACGGGGAGATCAGATAACCTACCGCTGAGTTATTACACTCCCATTTACTACCACGGCGAGATCAGGGAACCTACGGCTGACTTATTTACGCTCCCATTAACTACCATGGGGAGGTCAGGTAACCTACGGCTGAGTTGTTACACTCCCATTAACTACCATGGGGAGGTCAGGTAACCTACGGCTGACTTATTTACACTCCTATTAACTACCACGGGGAGATCAGGCAACCTACGGCTGTGTTATTACACTCCCATTAACTACCCCGGGGAGATCAGGGAACCTACGGCTGTGTTATTACACTCCCATTAACTACCATGGGGAGGTCAGGTAACCTACGGCTGACTTATTTACCCTCCCATTAACTACCACGGGGACATCAGGGAACCTATGGCTGAGTTATTACACTCCCATTAACTACCACGGGGAGATCAGGGAACCTAAGGCTGAGTTATTTACACTCCCAATAACTACCACGGGGAGATCAGGTAACCTACGGCTGAGTTATTACACTCCCATTAACTACCACGGGGAGATCAGGGAACCTAGTATTATAGGTGTAACTACCACGGGGAGATCAGGGAACCTAGTATTATAGGTGTAACTACCACGGGGAGATCAGGGAACCTAGTATTATAGGTGTAACTACCACGGGGAGATCAGGGAACCTAGTATTATAGGTGTAACTACCACGGGGAGATCAGGGAACCTAGTATTATAGGTGTCCTCCTCCTCTCGTGTCCCTTTGCTGTTCTGTTGTCATTCTGGTTACCATAGCACCCAAGTAACAATGCTTATAGAATGGATTTATACAGAAATGATTTGATGAGAATCAAAGGTGAAGGTTGCAATAGAAATGATTATCATACATTAGCTCAGTGTTACTGATTGGACAGTAACATCTGTCTAGATTTTTGAGGTTGTGCCTTAATTTAAAGATGTTTACATTTTAATGAGTAGAAAATAAAAATGATCTAAAAACAATGTAAATGTTATTCGTAATTCATAAATCTATTTACAGTTGAACTTCCCTAGTCCAGATATTAGTTCTGGTGTCCCACTTTCCAGCCAGTGCTAACATTTTTCTGTACATCATTTTCCAATTCAATGGCTCACATTCTAAACATTTTTTATAAAAATTATTCAAAACATTCGGAGATCAGTTTATAATTCAGTGTAATCAAATGTACGGCCGTGGTCACCAAGTTCAATATTTAGGAGATAAAGAAACTCACCTTTGTTGAAATAGATATTAAGGAAATCATATCTGTTCTTGTCATCTAGTTTTGATGATGAATCTTCTATGCATCTAAGTTTATATTATGTACAATGTATTATACTTTTACAGAAAATACAATTGTTATCGAGCAGTTGTTCATGGTTGGAATTAATACATAACATTTAAAAAGAACACCATGCCATTGAAGTGTTTGATGTGTATACACTTGTTTATTGTTACTGGCATGTTATGATTGATTAATCTGGTCTGGCATGGATTGTAAGTTTGTGTCACCTGAGATAGAAGCAGAATAAGTTCTATAAAACCTGCTTAATAACCATCACCTAAATGTTGAATAATTTGTATGTTTAAGATCCTATTTATTTGCCGGTTGAATATTAAAAATGGGGTATACATATCTGGTATCATTTTAAAACAAAAGTCAGTTATCTTTCTGTACACAGCCAAATGTAAAGAGAATGTTTTCTACCTAGTTTTTTGGATATGGTGTATGTGATTAGAGTTATATGAGGATTGGGATATCATAAAATGGAAATGCAGTGTTAAGTTTTACATGGTCCTTTCCTATTAATGCAATTTGCAAAAATATATGTGGGCAAAGGGAGGCAATCTGTTTAATTTTAAAAATCTGTCGGCAAGAACCAGGAAACACCCTTATTCCTGACCAGGGAACTAAACTTATATCCCAACACTAGTATCAACACGTCTGTAATAATGAGATGTGGGATCAAGTCAGTTACATGTATAGGCGTTTAGTATTTGGGATGCTTTATAAATCATTTTAGAAGGACTTTTTCTGTTGTAAGTCCATTGATACAATGATGTAATGGTATAAAGGATCTTTATCAGCTTGTTCCTGTGGTCCTTATGTGTGCTAAAGTTTGAAACTTTAAAGGATGTTAATACTATGTAGAAATGCTCCTTTACTGGAATTTTTTTAATTTTTTTCTGCAAATTTATACAATAAAAAATTGAATGTTTGTCAATGTTTTTTTCTCTCCAGCTCGATACAGCGTGAATTAAGATGAGGTAAATGGTTACAGGGAGTGTTGGGGTGTGGACCCAATCATTAACACATGTCATTTTCACTAAATCATACTTCATACTAAACCGTTACAGGGTGTACATCCGAGTCAGTCTCTGTCTGGGTACTAGCTGAATTCCTGTGGTCACCTACATTGTAGTGCTAGTGTGTTTTGGCTAGTACTAGTGTGTCATTTTTAATATGATGACAATTTATGATACACTGGCCAAGGTGTAAATTACAGTGATATTGCATAGTTAAATAAATATGTTTATAGAGACAATAAATATATTTTATTTTAAACATATTTTTTTACAGAATACGTGTGATTGCGACTGATTCAAAATTTTGTAAAAATGTTTTTGTATGAAATTACAATATAGTTTTTGCATAATTAACTACAATTATTTTTATTAAAAGAATAAGCTAAATTGTATTCGAAGAAAGAGATTTATTGTAGTTCCTTGTTTATTTTTTTTATAAAAGAGTAGAAAAGCATATTTAATATGGACTATAACTACAATTTATTCGTCTAAAAATTATGTTTACTGGTAACTCAAGTTTTTGGCAAATTTTACTGCAAGGAATTTGGTTGGTGAAAAAATAGATTTAATACGTAGCTACAGTAGTTAGTACTAAGTTTTCTTGGTCAGTTATTATTCATTCGTTTCAAGATTTGCTAACTGAAGTTTTCATTTAATAGATTTGTTTTCTTTCAATTAATTTTGATTTTATCATCTAGATCATTTCTATTCATTCAATTGATTTTTTCTAACATAATTTCAATTTCCAATTTATATCTGACATATCATCTAGTTGATAAGTTGTTTTTACACAATTTTCATAAATATAATTAGCTTGTAACATTCCATTTAGTAAGTAGATTTTTATGTTTCCATGTTATCAGACTTATTTTTAATATGCAGTACATAAAATGTTGTGTTGCACTTTGAAGTCCAAGGAATTTTTTTGATTATTTTTAAATCAAGTGAATAATGTGCTGATTTTTTAAACAGTTACAATGGAGAAAAAACTGTCTAGACTTTATTGATGCCATTAACAAATTATGTCTTGGTCATAAGTTTGACTTCCTTCTGTACTAAATATCCCAACCCTCGCCGGACTGTTTCCTTGGTAACATCATCCTCAACCAACTGTTATTGTTACCCGGACAAAAGAAAATGGCTGTTTTATTTACGGAGATAGAATATGTTCATTTGTTAACTTATTGACATGTTGGTGATGGAAAGGTTGATTAACATTCTGATGCTCCTGATGATAACTGGGTAAAGTTGGAAACAGTTGTGTGGTACCTCACAGCACGTTGGTTCTCGGAGGGAAAATATGTGATCAATGTCAATGCCATGCATGATGATATGTACCAAGGTCTGAACTTTTACACTTACAGGTTTTGAGTTTGAAATAATTTGTTTACAATTGTAACCAGTATTAGGTGTATTGAATAAATACTGATTAGAAAAGTAAATATCCAAAGTGAAACATTTCAACTGACAGGCAAGGCTCAAAATATTATCAGCATGAAATAATGTTAAAACAGTAATATTTTACTGAAAGATTATAACTCAACAGCCTTTGGAGGAATTAGTGCTAGTCAGGTGCACTAGGTTGATGGATTGATCATGATAGGCTAGAACAGCCTTTCATTAGGTATTTTATATCAATAAATATTTACTTTCATCAAGTAATTTCTGATGATGTGTTCACTTTTTGGTTCACTTACCTTCAGCTTTATACATGTATGTTTATACTTTATTCAAGGGTTACGTGGAAGTTGGAATTGCCTGCATTAGAAAACTTAAAAGGATGTATCTTTTATCAAATATTAACTTGAATATAAACATATTTCTAATAAATTTTAGTCAAAATGTGGGTATTTAAAAACTAAAATATAATTATAACCACAAAATTGATTGTACTTTCTTTATGTTACAGCCGAGAGAAGGAAAACCTGGTCTGGATCACCGGCCAAGTCCCCGAGGGAGCGGGAAATGGAATACAATTTTCTAAATGGACATGACAGCGAAGTGCTAGGTCAAACACGGGATGACTTATATGGACAGGCTCCTCTCCGCATGCAAGAAAAACTCTTTATCTGATTGGTTAAAAGTTTTATCAAACCGAACCTTCTGATTAATTGACCCAGAAGGATTCTTCTTCTTATTGGTCAAAAAAGGACTGTTTTCTTGCCAAATTTCTCGTTCTTAATGGATCATATTTGATGGATCACCAAGCAGCTGTCTGATAAATGATTGTAGCCATGCGTACAGAAGACATCAAAAGTTGTCACATCAACAGAGGACAGCGAGTGTGACGGGGTGAATATCTGGAGAAACAACCTCTACAATGTGATTGGCTACAAAGTGTTAAAGTCACGATGTGATTGGCTTTATCTGAGGCAAGAGCCGCATTGTAATGATTTCCCCAGGTTCAGCAGTGCTGACGTTGTCAATCGCAAAAGGATAAAAAAGAATGCCAAACATTTTCCAAAAATTGGTTTTAATAATAAAAGTTCACCTAGGTATTGATAAGATACAGGTGAGCAAATTTAATGGCGAAAAATTGAAGGATTATTTTGTTTAGTTTGGGGGGGGGTGGAGTCAGCTATTTAATGTATGTTATCTACCTGAGGGAAAATATTGGGAGGACTGCACTCTCATTTTGGAATGTACATTCTCTACTAGAAGGGCTTCAAAACATTGATTTACATACGTGTATATTGTGTTAAACTGAAACAATGATACACCTTACCTTATAATTATGTACGTTCAATTTAAAAGTTTTAACATGTTAAAATAGCGTTGTGTTATGAAGAATCTCGTTAGCCATTGCTGAAGGCAAAATTTTTTTGGTCTTATACTGACTGAAGGCAAAATTTACATTTAAATGAAAGCTACGCAATCATAATTTTTCATAGGTCCCCTTCATGCTTTTTACTTGGCTACAGAAGTTCAATATGTTGGGATATTAATGTGTAATCGATATATTTTCGTTTTTGAATTTCTGTGACCGTGAGGTGTAGAGATCAGGATGAAAGTATGCAGTGTTGCCATCAGAGGGGCTCTGTCTGTTGGGTAGGCTTGTCAATGAAAGGACAACTTGCAATGAGAGAGAGAGAGGGGTGGGGGGGGGGGGGGGGGGTGGCAGCTCCTGTTATGTATCAATACAAGGTGCTGGTTGGTCAGTGTTTACATGAGAGGGGCGCTGTCTGTTGGTCAGAGTGTTGACAAGAGAGGGGCCTGTCTGTTGGTCGGTCTTGACAAGAGAGGGGCCTGTCTGTTTGTCAGAGTGTTGACAAGAGAGGTGCCCTGTCTGTTGGTCAGAGTGTTAACATGAGAGGGGCCCTGTCTGTTGGTCAAAGTGTTGACATGAGAGGGGCCCTGTTTGTTGGTCAGAGTGTCGACAAGAGAGAGGGCCTGTCTGTTGGCCAGAGTTTTGACAAGAGAGGGGCCCTGTCTGTTGGGCAGAGTGTTGACAAGAGAGGGGCCTGTCTGGTTGTCCAAGTGTTGACATGAGAGGGGCCCTGTTTGTTGGTCAGAGTGTCGACAAGAGGGGGGCCCTGTCTGTTGGTCAGAGGGTTGACAAGATAGGGGGCCTGTCATTTGGTCAGAGTGTTGACAAGCGAGGGGCATGTCTGTTGGTCAGTGTTGACAAGAGAGGGGCCTGTCTGTTGGTCAGAGTGTTGACAAGAGAGGGGCCTGTCTGTTGGTCAGTCTTGACAAGAGAGGGGCCTGTCTGTTTGTCCAAGTGTTGACATGAGAGGGGCCCTGTCTGTTGGTCAGAGTGTTGACAAGATAGGGGGCCTGTCATTTGGTCAGAGTGTTGACAAGAGAGGGGCATGTCTGTTGGTCAGTGTTGACAAGAGAGGGGCCTGTCTGTTGGTCAGTGTTAACAAGAGAGGGGCCTGTCTGTTTGTCAGAGTGTTGACATGAGAGGGGCCCTGTCTGTTGGTCAGTGTTGACAAGAGAGGGGGCCTGTCTGTTGGTCAGATTGTTGACATTAGAGGGGCCCTGTCTGTTGGTCAGAGTGTTGACATGAGAGGGGCCCTCTCTGTTGGTCAGAGTGTCGACAAGAGAGAGGGCCTGGCTGTTGGTCAGAGTGTTGACAAGAGAGGAGGCCTGTCTGTTGGTCAGAGTGTTGCCAAGAGAGGGGCCTGTCTGTTGGTCAGAGTGTTGACAAGAGAGGGGCCTGTCTGTTGGTCAGATTGTTGACATTAGAGGGGGCCTGTTTGTTGGTCAGAGTGTTGACAAGAGAGGGGCCCTGTCTGTTGGTCAGAGAGTCGACAAGAGAGAGGGCCTGTCTGTTGGTCAGAGTGTTGACATGATAGGGGCCCTGTCTGTTGGTCAGAGTGTCGACAAGAGAGAGGGCCTGGCTGTTGGTCAGAGTGTTGACAAGAGAGGGGCCCTGTCTGTTGGTCAGAGTGTTGACATGAGAGGGGCCCTGTTTGTTGGTCAGGATCTTCTATGTAAGATCATGTCCAGTATTATTTCTCCAAGGGATATATCTTGCGATTATGTCTCTATGTACTTCCATAAATCAGTAAGTGTGTGAAAGTAAGCTGTAAGGACTATATCTAATACTGTACACTAAACCTGTGATATTTTCTATTGTTGATATTGTTTAAGATATTAATAAAGATTGTTTTGTATGATTTTATGTTGCTAAGATTTATGGAGTTATTTTTATGAACATATTTTAAAAGGATTTAATATTTTGTCAAATGTAGACAAACACTTTGAATTTCATCAACATATCCGTTGAAGTGGCCTGTTGACTAAAATATTGATCGTATATAGATTAATCATGGTGATTGTAATTAATGAAAATGGATCTTTTTGACAATATAGCTATTGAATGTGTATATAGAAATTTCACTGTTTTATCGTTAAGAAATGTTTACTTTTGACGAAACTGATATTCATAACAGGCATGGAATCAATGTTCCAATAAGGCGTTCCCTATATATTACTAGTACTTTTTGGGGATTCTTGTGAATATTGAGTGCATATGTTCATACCACAAATTTAAGATATGAAAATGGCATGTTATTAGAGACACCTACGGGACATTTTGGGCTTTTGTACTTAAAGGTAGACATGCAGCTATAAGTAGTAACGGTATTAACTTGGGAAAAGTAATTAAGCTAATTTTTTGTGGCAGAATCCAGTTGACAGTTGAAATTATTAGACCAACTCTATCCTGTAGATTTAAGTTATCAGGGGACTTACCTTCGGTTATTGTTTATAAGAAGAGGCGAATGGCCAGTTAATAGAATAGCTGATGGTAAAAATTACCAGGAAATTCATTGTTATTCTGTAGAGGTCAGCGTTATTGACCATTCATAGAACAGCTCAGGATAAACATTACAAGATGGCTTGTTATACTGTAGAGGGCAGCGTTATTGACCGTTCTCATAGAACAGCTCAGGATAAACATTACAGCATGGCTCGTTATACTGTGGAGGTGAATGGCCAGTTATTGTTAGAATACGGTGTAGAACATATGGCTGAAAGCATCAGGCAACTCTTTTTTTTATTTCTATATGTTTTATGTTAATGTGACGTTACTAAATTATTATCTAATTGATGTTTATATCATAATTTGTTTCTGTTTGATACCGATGATGCCTTGATAAAGCGTCCAATGAAATCACATCAATGTTAGGATAGTGAAAAATAGGTGTTTTATCTATTCAGGTTTCCTGAACTGATGCAGATCTTTTTGATATATCTTGCTGAAAAATATGAAGATCACATCTATATTATGCGGGTATTTTTTTTCCAATGAAAAAAAAACATTCTAAATTCATGCTTTTAAATGCATCATATGAACAATTCTTGACTGGGATAGTGAATAGTTGAACTAGAAATGATCAAATGCTCCTATGAGAAATGTTTTCATAGCAGACTGTATTGTGTTTACTAATATTTCACCATTTTATATTTGAACATATCATTTAGAACTACTAGATGCATTATCTATACAGCTGTATCGCATTGTACATATACCATACAGATTTTTTTACAATATTTTTGTATACATCACTCATACATTGTAATTAACATATCAATATATTATATAGGACCAATGTATAAACAAACTGGGTCAAGAATCCAGGGAAATCCAGCCACCTAGGGTGGGTACAGGCAATAAACAATGATAAAACAGACTCAGTGTTGTGTTGTTTTGGTTTTCTACCGACGAATTCTGGAAAACTTCAGGATTGTTGCTAAACAATGATAAAACAGACTCAGTGTTGTGTTGTTTTGGTTTTCTACCAATGTTTTCTGGAAAACTTCAGGATTGTATGTTGTTTGTCTAGCTGTACGTTTGTTTTTCCTTTTGACCTTTTGAATAGATCGACTTTGTCATACAGAGGACAGCAGTGGCTGAAGAGGAAGGAGAGCATGGTTTTAGAGATAACATTCCCCGGCTCTAAAAAGGGATTATGCCTGTAATTTGTGATGTTAACTACGGAACAAGAGTGAATTGTTACCATAGAACAACTTATATTATGACACCCGTGAGAGAAAAGGTGGAATCTATACCATGGGAAGAAAATCCCCAAGGAAATGGATGTTTGGGCTTACCTTGTCAATTGGATATTTAACAATTTGGTAGAACTATATCCATGTTCAATTCATAGCCAGGAAAACGACAAAAGAAATATTGGATGAACAAGACTGCGGTATATTCAAATCTACAGAAGAAAACATAGTAAAACTAGGTGGAAATTAGGAAAGTATGTACTACAACTACAGCACGCCAAATACGACCAATAATGAATATGAACAAAAATGATCGGCAGTGAACTAAAGACAGCCCAAAAACGTTCTGAAATATGTTCACTCAAAAGGAAAGGTGTGTAGTGACAGTGACTTTGAAGTGCCCTAACCAAACACTACAGATCTACTCTGTTAAAATCTCTGATATTCCAATTGGACTGCTAATCTCTATGTTCATATATATAAAACTGGCTTATTGGTTCAGCCTACCCTACATTGTATCTACCTAACTGAATATATTATATCTTAAATTTATATGCAGTATATGTTTGAAATGGATATCTTTCTATATGGAAAGGGCTTTTATAGGCAATGCCTGTGGCCAATCCCATTGTTAATTGAAACAATAAAATATTTTTGAAATGAAAAGGAAAGGTTGGGAATATAGAACACCTATAGAAGATGAAAATGGTATGAAAGCATCCAGGATTCTTCGAGGGTATCTTCACGAAAAAAAGAAAACGAGGATCACATCTCAAGGACTGAAATAGTACCCATAGAACACCACGTGTTTAACAAATTACAGGAAAGGAAACAATACAAATATTAAAGTTAGGGAACAATACAAATTGCTAAAATTAGGGGACAATACAAATACTAAAATTAGGGAACAATTGGCACGACAAGTAATAAATTGGATCAATAAGGAGGGATTAATACACTTGGAAACAGCTTACTATGTGAAGAACATTTCTACTTTCTACCAGAAAAATAAATAAAATTATATAAAGCTGCAGGAGGGTTCGGAGGACACTACATCATAACTAGAGGGACTAATGTCGATATGATATAATTGGATCTTCAAAAGACGTTTGACATCAGACCTTTAGACGAACAAGAAATAGGAAATCGAGAAAAAAACCGATTTAGTATTACTAAAGGAGAAAAAGCAGTGTGTAGTAACGAGCTCGAGGGGACATCAGTGGTCAAACGTTAAAATGGAGTCCATAATAGAAACGGCAGTGAAAATTTAAGTCGTTGTCAGCGACCTGCCACAAGCATCCAAAACCAAACTGCAGACAACACAAGCATACATATTGTCAACAACGGTGAATCGGACGTAAACATAGCGAGGCTTTGCGAGACTTTGGCCAGAACAACAGCAATTATAGACAAGCCCCATGTTAACAAAGGATATTCAACAGATGGAAAACCTACGTAAAGGGGATACCAATTAGTATCCAAACGTTATACAGAATAAGTGGGGAAAGTCGGCATACCAACACTTCAATACCGGCGAAAGCGATCCGAGGAAATCCATGTGTACTTCATATTAAACGGAGTGGCAATAGAGTGTAATACATACTCGTCATTCATGCCAATAGAGTGTAATGC